CTACTGTTTCAAAATTCCCTGACATTTCCAGCACCTGGACAAATAAATTAATTTCCCTGACATTTCCAGGTGTGTACGATCCCTGTAAGAGGTGATCATTCTATAAACCAGTGGTTACCATTAAACTTACACTTGTGACATAGTGTATGCATTTTACTTAAAAGCATAAAATGGGGTGTAAATTCAAAGCTCAATGCTAACAACCTAGAGTGAAAACTAAGAAGAGTTAGATACAGATCCCTTGGTGACCTAGTTAATTCATTCTCCAGTATTGCCCCTTTGATCACATTTCCAGGCACTTCACTTACAGTTAATTTGTCAGTTGAAACAAAAGCCATGTGTCTCCAAATTACCCTTTTATAACAAACAACTGCACCAACTTAAGAAGATTCCCCAAATTTCATGCTTATTTCTTGCTTACAGTTATAGAACTTGTGTCATTATAACATCATTCAAATAGCCAGGGTTTTAAATCAATTATGAATTCTGAGTTGTAATATATAAACCATAGAGCATAATAGTTCACATATTCTAGTTGTCTAAGTAACATACTTTTTGAGATGAATTCTATGGCATGTGTAATGAACTTTGGTCCCATCTCTAAGCTGAAGTTCAAGTTAATTAATCATAATGGCCATTTAAAGAGATTGAGTCTTCCAGATTTCTATTCTGGACCATCAGTAATGTCCCAATATATATAGGTTATTTACTGGGAGGGATTGAATATGGGTTTTATTCCGAGGGACAATATGATATTGACCGAAGGGTAATATGATATTGACTGAGGGAGCGCAGCGACCGAGTGTCAATATCATATAACCCAAGGTCAATATCATATTTTCCGAGGAATAAAACCCATATTCAATCCCGACCAGAAATAACCTATTTATTCCATAATACACCCCTGTAAAATGCTACATTTGGATAATGCCAAAAACGGGAAAAAATAACCGGGAAACCGAAAATAGGTTAATATGCTCCGATACGATTTTTTTCCCGGGGACAATACGATTTTTTCATGTAATACGCTCTAATACGATTTTTTTCCCGGGGACAATACGATTTTTTCATGTAATACGATTCAATGCAATTTTTATTCCTTCATATTTCCCTGGGAAAACAGTAGTATTATGGAATAAAATTGCTTATAAAACATCATATATACCTAAGATATATCTTGAGATCAAATCATAAGCACGATATCGACAATATATTGAGGATATCAACAGGACAACCAAAAGAACAACCAACTGTCAGAATTGAACGCAATAAGTCGAAAACAGAATACAATGTTTTTTTGGGATTTATCTATATTGTAACCCCTTAGAAGTAATAAATATGGCTTCTCGAAGCCAAAATAATCTGAAGGAAAAAGCCAATCAGACTGGAACAAATTTGAGCAGGCTTTTTAAATTTAATTTGAATTTCTATTGATGTACATGTAAGTGGAAATTCATGGCTAGGAACAATCATCGAATTGATACAGTTAATGAATTAATTCAAGCCTCAGAATTGATAAGTTGATAAACAAACTTGTTCTACATCAAATAACACGAAAAAATCAGGGGGTTACTCCAATTGTGTTTTTAGGAGACCTGATCTCTTTAAAGGCAGAATCAGATCTATGGGGGTGATAAAATTACAAGCAACATGTACAATTCACCTACCAATCTATTTCTTACAATCTCAAATATCTCCCAAAAGATTCCCGATATGTTATAGTGCAAAAATGGGTGAAAAATATTTAAATTCTCCCAAATAATAAGAATGGTAACCATGCTTATAGAAAAATAATACATTATTGTAAAAATCTTGAGTTTTCCTGAAATAAAGTGTGCACTTTAGGTATTTTTAGAAAATAGACATGAAAAGGAATGACAAAAGCCAGAGATATTCTATATTGAAACAAATTTTTGTAAGATCTGATTCTCTCTTTAATCTCACCATAGCAGGTCATGTTCTACTAACTGTTGTTGTTTACATTTGGGACAAGTTAAGCCCATTTAGGTCAGGCTGCTTTGACCTTCTAGTACATTACATTGTTTTAACTTCACAAATAAATTCATACAATTTAGTTTATGACTGATGATAATTTCATATTAAAGTAACATCACCGGCTGTTTTAATCGCAACATTGATGGCAAGTCACATTTTTGCATACTAGTGCTTTATGTACGTTTAATCTAGTCGCATTTAAAAGGGGGCGGCACAAGTCAAAACCATACAGGATGGTGGTGATTAAAAATAATTGATAAGTCGTGTATTTGGCATTTTTTCTTCAATTTTAACATTTAAATCATATTTACCAAAATGAGTGTCTCCAAGGCTTCATACCAGAGTTTACATGATGCATTTGTCACGAGTTTGAGCTGAAATTTCATTAATACGAAGGGTAATTTTTGCCAGGTTTGTTTTATTGCGGTTAGCATTAATAATCTGGATCCATTACCCCATGTACCTAAAGATGCCCCCAAAAGTTTCATTGAAAATAATATGGAAAGAGTTACTTTTATCAACTAGAAAAGGTAACTTTACAGCGTAGCAAATCCTAATGAACATCATATTAATCATGAATCTGCACAGTCAGTCACAATATAATATTTACCATCTACTCTTCCATTCAATAACTAGAACAACGGCAACGCCAAAGCGTAGCGAATCCCATCAACAGAAATGGCTGGCATTTTTACAAACGAAATATATAGCAAATATTATAAAATAACACACATAAGAAAGGCCACCATTTTCAAAATGGTTGCTCACTAGCCAAGTTGTCATCAGAAGTAATATGCTTTTTTATAGTATTCACATACCAAATATGAACAAAATCGCTCCACTACTTTTCGACTTATAGTAAAATACTTTAAAACGGTGGCCATTTTTCAAAATGGCCGCCTTCTACCAAAAGTGTCATTAGACAGTGTGCCATGCTTATAGTATTCACATACCAAATATGACCAAAATCGCTCCACTACTTTTTAAGTTATAGCAAAAATCGTAAAATAACGAGCAAAGGCCGAGTAAAATATGTTTAAATGGCGGCCATTTTTCAAAATAGCCGCCTTCTACCAAAAGTGTCATTAGACAGTGAGCCATGCTTATAGTATTCACATACCAAATATGAACAAAATCGCTCCACTACTTCTTGAGTTACAGCAAAAATCATAAAATAACGAGTAAAGGCCGCCATTTTTCAAGATGGCTGCCATGTGCTTCTTTAATATCTACATTTCTAGCTTTATCAATGTGCTATATAATTTTTTTACATTTAAAACATATTGCTATTACAGTTTTACATATTGCACCTTAATTACTGTAAAATCGGCACTAAAATGGCCACCATTTTTAAATGAGCGGCCATTTTGAAAATCAGCTTTCAAGCAGAACTTCTACCTCCATAGGGTATATGTGTACAAAATATGAACAAAATCGGGCCAACGGTATTTGAGTTATTGCCCGGACGGAAGGACGGACGTACGGACGGAGGCGTTCCCTAAATCCCTCCGAACTTCGTTCAATGGGATAATAATTCATGCACACAAAATATTCAGTTAATCTGATTGGTTTCAACTTAAGTCCCCATGCGTATGATGTGTGCCATGTTTTTTCTAGTGGTTTTGTTTTGTTCTATAGAGTTTGTTATTCAGTTTTACTTCCACAAAAATGGCACCCATTACATTCACATGTAGAGAGTGTTTGCATATATATATGGTCAAGTTAGTGCATTGCTAATAAGATTGACAACTGCGTTTGAAGATTACAGTATCTTATTTGATATAACATGTCTGATACAGGGGCCGATCCAAGAACTAACAAGGGGGGGGGGCCAAATTTACAGTTCGAGAAAAAATTTTGGGAATTTTGAGGCCTATTTTCTACAAAATTTGCCCTGAAATTAAAAAAATAAGGCCTTAGAAGGTCCAGTAATGACTTAAAGGCCCACTTTTTGAGGACTTAAGGTCTTTTTTGGCCCAAAATTTTATCCTCTGTTGCGGTATAATCGGGCTACAAAATCACCTCCACATTTGAAGAGTCGGCATTAACATGTGAATATCCACTTCAACTTTTTAAGTTCTATTTGTCATTATGGACACAAATTCCACTATATTTGGACTTACTAGGACGGAGAAAATAGAACACGGAATGCACTGAGGTAAGAATTTATTACATGTGCGACAGCATGTAATTTTCATACCTATAGTAATTCTTTATGTTCCCCACTGTATGCTAACATCAATTAATGACGTGTGGTATTCGGGAACTAGCGGGGTAAATGATGGTGGCAACCAAGATACGTAACTTTGACTGTCTGTCATCTCTAAGCTCTGAGTTTTTCCCTTCCTTTGGGTAAGTAAGAAGGGACTTCCGGTCAAAACACGATACAAACGATATTCATTTTATGTATCGATACAGCTCGTATCGGAGGTGATTTACTTGAGCGCTCGAGCGCTTGCGCACCCCTAATATATACGCTACCATAGTATTTTTAAACACCTTGTACATTTGATTACGTCACAGCTAGGAGTGTGACCCTCGGTTGTTACACTTGTTTTGTTGTTAAACGATGAGTATCGACGACATGCAATGTACTATATTAGTATATCACAAATGGGTCGAGCATTTGAACGGTATATACGAGATGACAGTTTCTTGAAGTTTGAACATGTGCAGTGTGTCCATGTGAAAAGAAATGTCAGATTGAATTGAAAATGAAATTGGGTTACCTCCTCTAAAATTCTTCTAATTCCCTCCCTCGGCGCGTCTGGATAGTTTGCAGGATCTTCTGACAGTAGTTTCAAGACCCTTGTCTTACCCTGTGGGCATCTGGCCCAAACATCAGTGAATGTTCCTCCACGGTCTATCGCAAATTGGAACATTTTCACGCTGTCCAAAACTGCAGCGCCTGCACTTGTAGTCTCGCGAGATTTGGTTGCAAGATTGACAAAATGTAAACCTCAATAAAGGGGGTTTTATTTTGAAAATAACTATCAAAATAAGATTTATATCATACTTATACCATGTAGGTACACTCAGGAAAAAAATGGCTGAAAATGTTACCTCTATAAGTCACATTCTTCGATTTATTAGAAGTAGGTCACATACGTGAACTTGCGAGAAAACAAACCAGCATGGCGGGCATGGAATTATTATCAGACCAAGGTTTTAGAATCGATGGCCGTAAACCTTGTGAATTGAGGCGGATACAAAGTAAACTTGGTGTATTTGGTAAACCAGACGGTTCTGCATATGTCGAACAAGGAAACACTAAAGTTCTTGCAGCTGTATATGGTCCACACGAGGTATTGCAATAAAAAATCTTCATTTTCAATTTCATGATTTTAGAAATTTTTGTCATTTTAAATTTCATGATTGAATTGAATGATTAAAAGCGAATGATTAATTTCTGAAAATTAGAATGTGACAGTGAAATGAACTTGAGTTAAGTGCAACAAATGTTCAGAAGACAACATATCTCATACGGGTTTGTAGAAAAAACCGGGTACCGCGTGGTAAATCCTCCATGCTGGGTTCAAATTTGGTATCCGGTCGAAAAAAACGAATATATAACATAATAAGATCATTAGAAGATTTGTTTTCAATTTACAAAAATGTATGTAACTTCCTTCAAAATTTACCGAGAAGCTTCAAATAAAAAGCATTTTAAGGTGACTGTTAACTTAAGGTGCTATGGAACTTAACAGGAAATGACAAAACAGGAAGTGACAATTTTTTTTGCATTTTTAGACATTTTTTGAACAAAGATAACAGAGTTCTGTTTTGACCTCCAGTCAATTCAACTAGTTCCAAATACCATTTACAGGTCCAGGATCACAATGTTCATGGTCAGAATGACCCTAATCATGATGAAATAACGTTTTCAGCCCTATGAAAATGTGACTGAAAAATAGCTAAAAGTAGGAGGGTAGGAAAGGTCACTGAACAGAATCTTTTGAATTTTACAGAAAATGTGCCCAATATATTGCTCTAAATGATACAATCTTTGAAAATTTGATATCATTCATGGAAAAAGAAAGAAAATGAAAAAACTGATTTTAAAAGCGATTTATTTTCCTTTTTATGACTGTCATTTTTGTTTAAGACAATTTTCTAAAATTTCAAAGATTGTATCAGTTGGAGCATTATATTGGGCACATTTTCTGAAAAATTCAAAAGATTCTGTTCAGTGACCTTCCCTAGCTCCTACTTTTAGCTTTTTTTCAGTCACACTTTCAAAGGGCTAAAAAGGTTATTTCATCATGTTTAGGGTCATTCTGACCCTGCACATTGTGATCCTGGACCTGTAAATGGTATTTGGAACTAGTTGAATCGACTGGAGGTCAAAACACAACTCTGTTATCCTTGTTCAAAAAACGTCTAAAAATGCAAAAAAAATTGTCACTTCCTGTTTTGTCATTTCCTGTTAACTTCCATAGCACTTAAATCGATTTTCAGAAAAAATTGAAAATTTCACAATCTTGAAATTTTCAAACTCTTCCTGAGAAGTTGTTTTTATTATTTCACATATGCTTGTGCACTGTAACCATTACAAAGACATCAAAGAACAACAAAAAACTTTAGTTTGAGAAAAAAAGTGCCGTTTAAAGAATTTGAGAAGATTTTTTTCTAGGAGTAGCCCGTGAAAAACCGCTGATTCAAAATATCTGAACATTTCAGAAAATATACTTCAAACATATATCAAAAACGAAGGAGCAACGGAAATTTGAAAAATTACCCGATAAAAAAATTGGGATCAAAATAAGGAAAAAAGTACACTTCTCAAATTGTTTTTTTCTATTTTTTTTAATTTGTATGAGAGATTTCAAAATTCTAAAGCTCCTTCCATTTTGGGCTATATTGAAGGGATGTTTCAGAGAAATTAGAAAAAAAAATGTTCAGGGACCTTTGCCGTGCTACTCTTTTTGTCAATTTTTCTGTCACATTTTCAGAGGACTCAAATTCCCATTCCAAAATGTTTACTGTTTCTATTTGCATTACCACAGTCAGCGTTTTCAATAGGGACTATGAAAAGTGAGTCCCGGGGACCCAGTGTTATAATAATTTGGGGTCCCTCCCAAAAAAAGTGGGTCCCAATTGAAAAAAGAGAAACACTTAATAAACATGCACATGTATTCTTTATGTTGCTTTATCATGTTTTTATTGCATGTATTTAGACCCTGGGGTCAGATTGTACAAGTGTAAATGATGAATAAGTAACGTTTATACACAAGGCGTTACAGAATGTCACATCCAAGGCCATTTGAAAGCATTTGCACCCATTTGGGCTGATGAAAATGTTCCTCTTTCCAGCCCTGATGCATAAACTGCACCGCATTCCTTGGCCTGCAACATACTGCAGCCAGGGGTATGTGTTTTCCCATTCTGGGAGGTACCTCTTAACTTTAGGAGGGCGTGGCATGATAATACCCTTTACCTCGTCACTTTATGATTCAATTAATAATACTCAGATTCTATCCTAAAATTAAAAATTATTTGCAAAAACATTAATTATATAGACCCAATTCATGCAAGCGAAGCGAACTCTAAAGACATGAAAGAGGGGCCTGAGCCTCCCCACAGAAATTTTCTATATTTATACCTTCAAAATTAAGCAATCTAAGCATTTCCAGGAAGTCTTTAAACAGCTTGCCTTGATGCATTTCTAAATTTCAATTTTAATATTTTGTATTTTCACATTTTGTATATCCTAAATAATCATCATATTTAATCATTCTAAACCCCAGTCAATGCAATTCAATGTAATCACAGCTGTATATCTGAATATAGATGGCACGTGTGTAGACTGATTTCTCTAAGCAAAAAACTAACTATAAAATCCAAAAGATGGCAGTGTTTATATCACTTCTCACATTGAAATATTTTTGCAAAGCCGGCCACATTTTGACCAAAATGTACCGGTTTTATCATATTGTTTCAGCAAAATAAGTATTATTAAGGTAAGTTATACTATATTTTTTAAGTTTAAGTTGTATAAGCTTGATTTATTGGGTTAAACTTGGAGAAAATGCCGTTTGACCTAAAATAATTTACTTTCTATTTTTTTCATTCGACAATTTTATTTCTGATATGTTTTCGCCAATTAGGGACGTTTTTCATATAAAATAACATTTGTTTGCAACCTATGGTGAGTAATGCGTCCCAAGAACGCACCAACAATTTTTTTCTGCGTCCATGACTATTTATTTACGTCCTCATAATGGGAGGACGGCATTGTTAAAAACCCAGCACAGTGAGCCAGGGGGTCATTAACAGAACTTTCGCAAAGTTACGAATTCTTAATTTGTAAATATTTAAAAAGTTACGAATGACTTACGAATTCGTAAAGTTACGAATCGGCCATTAACAGAACACTTTTGTAAGTCATTCATTAGTTTTATCGTTCGTAAACGAATTTCAATTTGTGACGTCATCTTATATCATTATTTAGCACAAATAAAAATATGATGTCATATCATATCATTGCGCGCTGTGATTAAACCTGTCTCCGCGATTTCAATGATTCCCAGCTCAGGAACATATTTGCTTATCATGTGAGAATAGGTGGATATTTTAGCTTGAAACTTAGCATGCATATAAAGAACAATTTCTTTTTGCCAACCTGTATCCCTTACATAAGAACTGGATGAGAAATATGCCATTTGCAAAGTTATGAAAGGGTCTGAGGTGCTATTAAAGTTACGAACGAAAGCACATGTGACGTCATTTTTTCGTAACTTTGAGAATCGTTCGTAACTTTACGAAAGTTCTGTTAATGCACATTTACCAAATTTGTAAAATTAACAATTGACTTGCGAATTCGTAACTTTGCGAAAGTTCTGTTAATGACCCCCTGGTTATATAAATGATAAGTGGAACTAAAAAATTAAGAGAAAATCCAACCAAAAGTCAGTTAATTTTGATGGTCAGATTATACTCAAGTGCCATGTGCTTCCTGGTTTCGGCCATCTTGGATTTTTGATTAAGTTATAAGTTACCTTAAGGCTCTTTTCTTCCTATATCATCGTGGTCATATTTTCATTGGTCATGGGGGGTGTGCGATAGCACCATCGAACCCCCTCCTGGCTACGCCTATGACATTGTAAGACGATTTGAAAAACATGACAAATCAATCTTACCTTATTTTCAATAGTTTGTACGTTGGTACGTGAATTGTTTTGATTATGATTTTAATCTCTAAATTGCTATCGTAACTTTAGCAGAGAGGTGACATGTGTTAATTTACATGATGCAAAGTGTAAGATCATAGGCGTAGCCAGGAGAGGGTGTGATGGTGCGATCGCACCCCCCCCCCCCCCCCCATAACCAATGAAAATGTGTACATGATGATAGAGGAAGAAAAGAGCCTTAAAATGCTTTTTATTTGAAGCTTCTAGCTCAATTTTGAAGGAAGTTACATACATTTTTGTAAATTCAAAACAAATCTTACATGTTTTCTAATGATCTAATTATGTTATATTTGCATTTTTTGTTTTTTTGGGTACCCGGTATTTCGACATTCTAAATGAACGAACAAACATTCCATTTCTAAACTCAAAGTTGTTTCTAAAATGTATATGTAAACTTGTGATTAAAGGGTCTTGTCACACTAAAATCAAGTTGAAATTGATTTTCATGAATTGTATCCAGTTGACATAAATAGTTTCCGAATTCTAAACCTCATTCATCAATCAGTGTAGATACGCTTAATTTGGCTACCATTCTAATTTGACGATTTATTTTCAGATCTATTTTGGAAAATCCCTCAAGCATTTGTAGTTTGCAATTATTTCATTTGTCTGTGAATTAGTATTCCTATTTCGATGTCACTGCCATACTAAGACTTACTGAAAGCAGAACACATGAATCTGAAATGTTTATTTCCAGATCTATGCTAAAACTTCAGCTCAGTCCTGCCATCAATACTTGAAATTGTGCAAATCCGCCAAATTAAGTAGCGTCAAATTAATTGTATCTACAGTATCTGTCGCATCATTGTGATCTGTATGTTATCAACTCAATAACTGAGTGAATTGTTTCACAATTCATATTTAAGTTCTAGTTGAGATATAAGTTTAGAATGTTTAAAAAAACATATAGACAATGATTGTAAACTTATAAATTGGATCTACACCTAACATACTCGTGTATGTCGACCACTGAACCGTGATCCCTATATATTATCAATAAGCTGAATATATAAAGTATCCAATCAAACACTTTGACTCCCATTTTGATACACTAATCAATCCAATCTGTGCCAGAGATTCCTGGAGAGAGCCATTTGGTTGCATTTGGTTAAACTCTCACCTGTTTCATAATGTTATCTCCAAAACTCAATTTGAGATAAGAAAGACGTAATTTAAACATCATATAGGAATTCCTATTTCATTTTAGACCAAGAGATCTCACACATGTGATAATACATACAGTTTAAAAGTTACAAATGGTTTGCATTTGAATGTTATATCACATCCGACATCTGAAGATTTCTGACTAATAGCCTTCGTTATGTAACACCCTGTATTTTTATTTAAAAGTACAAGTTTACATACAAGTTGACCAATAACTTATATCGAAAGCTCTCTAATAGCTAGTTGCACATGGGTACATGCAAAGATCCCAATTTTGATTTGAGTTTTAATCTAGAGTTGGACTATACTGTTTCTATTTAAGACCTAGTTATGTCTTTGGTAATCTTATTGGAACTATAATTTTGATTAATTTCCAATGTTCACTTTTTGTTTCTTTCAGCCACGTGGTAATATTGTAAAACTACAAGACAAAGTTGTGATCAACTGTCAGTTCAGTATGGCGACCTTTAGTACAGGGGAGAGGAAGCGTCGACCCCGTGGGGACAGGAAGTCGATGGAGCTGTCGATGCACCTACAGCAAACATTTGAAGCTGCAATAATGACAGAGCTGTATCCCCAGTCACAGATTGATATCTATGTGGAAGTGAGTTAACATTTATAACTTAGGTAAATCTACCTACTGAAATTTTTATCACACCCTTGGGTGTTATATTGTGGTCAGTTTGCCAGGTGGGCAGGCGGGTGGGTGGGTGTCCCGATAAATCTTCTAGAGGTTTCCAGCAAACTGAGTTACAGGGATTCATCTGAAATTTTTGTGTATGTTTCTATGAATGATAGTTTAGAACTGATTAGTTTTCGGGAAATTTTCAGGGATGTTTCTGCGTATGACACTTTAGAACTGAAAAGATTTTGGGCATTCTGGGTAAATGTTTAGGTGGCCATTTTGGATATTCCGTCCTAAAATCTTGTTTGTCGATGCTTGTCTACAGGTTTCCAGCAAAACCATTACTAGGATTCATCTGAAAATTTAGGGATATTTTTACATACATGTAATATGAAACTTGAGAACTTAATCCTTTTTGGACATTCTGAGTAAATGCTAAGGCTGCCATTTTGGAATTTCCATTCTAAAATCTTGTCTGTCAAGGCTTATCTACAGGTTTCCAGCCAAACCGTTACTAGGATTCATCTGAAAATTTTAGGGATATTTTACATATGAAAGTTTAGAAATGATGAGTTTTTGGGCAGTCTGGGTAAATTTTAGGGTGGCCATTTTTGATTTTCCATCACTAAAACTGTATTCTATTTAAGGGTGTTGTCTTGTTCACTCTGTGCCTTGTTGAACCTCTATAATGCGCCATTTAAAGGTATGGATGAATGAGACCCTCTATTTTGCGGGAGGTGTTGGGGTTTTGACAAAATTATAATTGGATTGTCAAATTTCCTAACCTGGAGCAACATATTGATAGATTTCAGTTTCTAACCCAAGGTGTGATGATAGCTGGTCAAATATAGTCTGAAAATGGATTTGAAAATTACTTGAAGTGAGGATTTTTATGAAGAACTAAACGTTTGCTCATTATCCCAGTGGCCCTTCTAGGCCTCTATAGCTAATATTAATAATCTTGCATAAATATTCTGAATATAACAGCTCCAGTCTTACAGAGAAAGTATTGCTCAAGTGTCTACTGAAAGATGATCATTGAAACTGAGATTCATCAAGGAGGATTGGCTCCAAGCGACACCAATTGATATTCTTTTCCATATATATGGTCATCATGTAGTCATGTTATGAGAATATAATATTCAATCACAAAGAGGATTAGCTCCCAGAATGCAACATTGTTATTCTGTCCCATATGTGGTATAACCTGTAACCTTATTTCGTGATAGGTTCGGGAAACATGTAACTTTTAAATAAGGTTGGAGGTCAACATACCATATATGGGACAGAATATTGATGTTGCATTCTGGGAGCCAATCCTCCTTGGGGATTAATGAAGGATTATATGTCAGCTGATTACCTTGACAACTCCTCATAATGGACACAAAAAATCTCTTGAATAATTTCAGGTGCTCCAGTCTGATGGAGGAAACTATTGTACAAGTGTAAATGCTGCAACTTTAGCACTCATTGATGCAGGCATCCCTATGAAGGACTATGTTTGTGCATGCTCTGCTAGTTACCTTGACGACACCCCAATGGTGGACATTAACTACCTCGAGGAATCCTCAGGGGGTACAGAACTTATCGTCTCAATATTACCAAAATCTGAACAGATCGTGTTCCTGTCGTCAAATTCTAGATTACACGAAGACTGTTTGAATAAAGTTCTCGATATGGCCATAAAAGGATGCAAAGATGTGTATTTGTGTTTAGATGAGACTGTAAGAGAACATATGACTCAAGTATCTGCGAGTTTCTCAGCTGATTGAGGATATATGGGAAAATATTTATGTAGCTCTATTGTAAAAATAAATAAATTTTGTAAATAAGACAGCTATGATTGTTTCAGATTTTGCAGATATGGGCCAATTTTGGGCCAAAAGCCTTCATGATTTTGAAATTCCATATTGCCAAAATATGGCTCTAAAATAAGTTTTTTGCTGCTTACTGTATGTCTTATGGAACTAAATAGAAATATGAATTGTTAGTGAGATGTACACAAAAATTGTGATCTCACATTATTTTTTATTGATATTTCAGGCCCGTGGCCAGGTTTTGCCAAGGGGTTCACTTTTTGAAAAATTCCAGGGGGTTCACTCTTGACAATTTTCGTCCAAAAATGGCCAAAAAGAAGTGCTCAGAAGAATTTTTGGCTGGGTGGGGGGCTCGCCTTCGTGTATTTACTATTTATACACATAAAAAGTCCGAAGTTAAAGCTTCTTACCAGTTCAGACCCTTTAAATCGATATTGGGAGAATGGTTTCAAAATTAAAATCTGCTGGTGAAACCCTAGGGAGATGTAATACAACCGGGGTAATACAAACCCACACAATTTGAAACATTCAATAAGCATAAGCCCCCTGTAAAGGAGAGGGGGATCTCAATTGAAATAAGGATCTAGAGGTACAGAATCTCCAAAAGCTCCACCAGAATCAGCAATCAAAGTTCATATTCAATCCAGAAACACAAAGTATAATGTTTGACATTTTTTATTTTCATAAGCAATAGAGTTTTTGAGTTTACAACAAAATTACCATCAGTTGCATGTTACAGTGTACAGAATATTACGTTCAACAAAGTCTTTGAAATGATTATCACTTATGGCTGAAATTGTGAGACCATTGCCTTAAAGCCATCCCATGTCTCGTTCCCTACAGGAATAATCTCCTCTGGAGGAAGGAGAAAGCCCCACCCAAACCCTGGCAGCTCCACGGTGTAGACATATTTTATCTGTGGCACCCCCTTTGCCCAATCTCTTGAGGTACCTGATGATGGATCTGAAATGCGATGCACATAAAATTACACACAGAAAGACAATACATTACTACTTATAATTGTACATTTCAATGTTATTTATCATTATGATTTTGAAGGAATGAGTTGAAGGAATATGCAGGGACTTTACCAGTAACAGTAACAGTCTATTGGGTATAAGTCACACTACTCAATTCAATACAGATTTCAAATGAAAATATCTCTTTTTTATTTGTTTATCATATGATATATTGCACATGTTGCAGAAATATAACCATATATTTTATTCTGCCCATTTTCAAATACTAATTTGCTTCGTGATTTTGGTGATTTTGATTAAAAAGATCACTGTTTGTATATTGCGCCGTGAATTGTGAAGTTACTTAAAAGCTACATAGTCTTATCAGGGATTTAAAATTACATAGGATACCCTAAGACCCTACCTAACACCCCAGTCACATTTGTCGCACGGCGGCCGCAAGTCGACCGCAGATCAATTAAATCGGTGAATTTCTGCGGCGAGCGTAGAAAAACTACGCTCGCCTTGCGGCCTCCGTACGGCGTATGCAGATTTTTACAGGCCGCAGGGAAGGCGTAGAAATTATAACTCGGAGTTATAATTTTTGTTCATTTCTGAGGTCGCCGTAGAAATCAACTGGCTCAACAAGATTAAATCATTATTTGTCAATGTTTCACGATCACTTTTCATTTGATATTACATCCTAGCACTATGAATAACATTTATAAGTTGTCCCGATGTAAATAAAATGAAAAAAAAAGTATTATTTATCAACAGAAATTTAAAATTCACCATGCGGCTGCCGTGGGAAATGTGACTGCAAAAGTATGAGAGCGCAGAAATTCCACGGCGAGTGTAGAAATGTTACTGGCCGCAGAAATGATAGACCGCAAGGTCGCCGTAGGAAATGTGACTGGGGTGTAAGCTACAATGGATATTATATACACCTACAGAGAATATCGTTAGATGTCCCTACTGGATAGATGGTGCCACGGTTGTCCTCGATTGCATCAGCCCATGCATTACCAACACGCATCTGAAACAAAGGCACGTATTACCAACACGCATCTGAAACATAGGTATGCATTACCAATATGCATCTGAAACATAGGCATGCATTACTAACACGCATCTGAAACAAAGGCATGCATTACCAACACTCATCTGAAACAAAGGCATATATTAATTACTAACACGCATCTGAAACGCAGCAATGCATAACTAACACGCATTTGAAACAAAGTCATGCATCACCAACACGCATATGAAACATAGGCATGCATTGCCAACACGCATCTGAAACATAGACATGCATTACTAACACGCATCTGAAACAAAGGTATATACATGTATTAATTACTAACACGCATCTGAAACGCAGCAATGCATTACTAACGCGCATCTGAAACAAAGTCATGCATTACTAACACTCATCTGAAACATAGGCATATATTATCAACATGCATCACAGTGTCATGCATTACCAACATGCATTGCTAACACGCATCTGAAACGAGCATGCATTACTAACAGGCATCTGAAATACATGCACTACCAACACGTTGCCAACATGCATTAAGACATTGGGAGTTTTCAACAGAAGTTAGAGTGAACCAGAACCATTGCTTGTATCAATAATAAAATGCCCTGTAGGCCAAGCATTCCCAGCATACATGTGATTCATTGGAAAATGCAACACCATCCTCCCAACGCAGGGTTCCAGACATCATCCACTAAGTCCCTTCCTTCTTCCAATAGAAGAAGGAGGTATGAGTTCTGGAGGCCTGTGTTCGGAGGATGAAGCAACACACAAATCATTAAAGGCACAATACCAACATACATGTGGAACATTAATAAGCCATGCATACTAACCGAGATTTGATTCATTAACGATGCAATGCACAAAACATGCATTATCAAAACACGCAAGCCATGCAACACCAACACAGACGAAACTAGTTTCAAACTAAAATTTCATTGACAACGTATTGACGAAGATTTATAATAGTGTTCTTAAGACATATAGGCAAATAGTTAAATCAAAGAGGGCGCCAGATTAAAGCAATTTACAGATCTCATATACATGTACTTGGTTGCTCACCAACTCATCATAATCGGGTGTATAATCAGAGGTGTATCCCCATGGCAACAGGAGCAACTGAGCAGCAGAATGAACCGTAATGAAAGATATGAACTCGCTTGCTCGGGGCATGATGAAATTACCCACTGCCAGAGCCTCGACCTCGGAGAACGCTGTCTCTCCTGCATACGTCTGGGCGCATGGATCGTCATTGGTTCCAATACCTGGAGAGAATTACCAAAAGAGATTACATCGTGACCTGTACAGTTGAGATTATGAAGTGGTTATCTTACGTCAAGTCTTTTGACTCCCATTCCCAAGACGAGAATTGTCTTAAAACATATACTAGTACTTTTATGATTACATTAACTAATATTTAATTGATAATATCTTTCAACATTTCAAGTGCACATTTGCATGTTATCGTGTAGTAGTTCATTATGCATTAAGAATAGCCACATGTTTAATAGGCTACTTTCTAAAACTAATTATGGTTACTTTGCCCTCCCCCCTCCCCAATGTACTTCTTGCATGAAGGTGGATTTGAATGAGGGGGGGAAGGCTGGAAGCACAAGTGGCGAAGTGTTCAAAACTAGATTAGTTTAAATAATTTCAGAACTCCCTGCAGTTTAAGAATTTAAGCCCTGGACTCAGTACAATGTGGAATGACCATTCCTTGAAGGTGTTGCTTTCCCACATTTGCACGAGATGCATCGAGTTTTAATTTTAGGAAACAACGCCTGAAAGGAATGGTCATTACACGATGTATTGAGTCTTGGGCTTAAAATCTTTTCACACATTTTCAAAATATTTTTCTGGCTACGGGCCTAGGAATGCAGTTACGTGGAATAGCGTGTTCTGATTGGGCGGAATTTGACACACATTGCCTAACTATTTATGAATTAAGTATAGATTTAACCATTCACGCGTTGTAGGCAGAATCCCAACGACATTTTTCTCACAAACGTCTATCAGTATCATATGTTTTAGAAAATGTACATGTTTGCGAAAAAATAGCTTAGAAGACTTACTTAAGTTCCATAAACGGTATGGGTTAAAAGTGCAGATCTTAAATGTTTTTCAAAATACCGTTTATGTAACTTAAGTAAGGAATTAAATCGACGATTCTGTTCCTATTTGTTCGCAAATATGTACATTTTCTTAAACATATGATACTGATACACGTTTGTGATATAAAATGTCGTGGGAATTCTGCCTACAACGTGTGAAATAAGGAAAAAATAAAAATTGTACCTTCGACGTTCCGACATTTTGTTACCGAAACGGTACCAGCGTAATCGAGTGGATCACCAGTGAAGTGGTGATTTCCTTTGAAAACAAGTTTTTTATCTACCGAAGTTTAATGTTTTATACACTTGAATCTACAATGTACAACATAGATTACAAACGCCATTACCTTTAAATCAAATGGTATTTACAATTTTTGGGCAAATGCACCACGGAAGTCAAATGAAAAAGACAGTATAACTGGGAAAGATTTTTTCTAAAACTCAATTTCTGAATAATCATTGAACTAATTAAAAGGCTAATCATGCAAAGAAAAGGCACTTAAAGTATGATAAGAATGACATGTTTTGTAAGGGCTGTCTAGTTTTTTGTAAAGTGATGAGGGACAAGGTCAATAACCCTTTTGTGAAACAATCTTTAAAGTAAAATCTGCATGTGTTATAATCTTAATTAATTCCGCTTATCATATAATCTTAAACAGAGAGGGAATGGCTCTTTAATATGTGCAAAAACAACTTATTTCAAAGGGTATGGTCAAACACTCTTATTTTTAGGAAAACTAACACTTTAAACCGCCCCCTCAAAGTCATGTCCTCCTGTTCTTAGAAATAATCTGATTGGCAGAGAGTTTCGGTTCCAGAAATATCACGTACTTCACATTGGTAGTTTGTTATTGGGACTGAGTTTAAGAAATACATGAACATTAGGTTACTAGTATCTTCTGAAATGGCAGCTTCCGGATCAGAACCTTCCCGTCAAAAAGTAAAACAATTAGAAGACTTCGTTAAATATACATCTGAAAGTGTCGACATTAAGAACAGATACCCCTGTGAACAGTTAGACAAACATGCATCATATGTTAAAAAACTGGTTGAAACTATCAACGAAAAGAACGGTGAATACAATCCAGTTTTTAAAAGCCGTGTTGAACCCTGTGGAAGTTATTCAGATAATCTAAAGATTATGGAGCCTGATGAATTTGACTTCAAAATGGTGATGGATTTGTCTAAACAACCGGGTATAAATGTGACGGACGTCGAACCTGAGTGTGGATACAAAGCATGGGGGTATGGCTACGTCATCGTGGGGCCTGAGGTTGAGACACTTGATCTTCCTACAACAGTCAACTCTAGGGATGAGTATTCCAAACAGGTACGACTCAGTAACGAATTCATATCAATAAACGTGAAACAAGCTGTTATAAGGTCCCTGGAGCATATAGAGAACGTGAACTTCATAGGTGAGAGGAAACTTGATGATCCGGAAGAATGTACGCGTATTTATAATCCAGGTGAGATCAGTATACACACCGACCCTAAGAGGAATAACCATACGCCTGGGCACGGGCCAAGTATTTGGCTTAGAGTTGGTACCGAACTCTGCACCACTGATATTGATTTGTGTTTCTGTATTGAGAAACTACAGAAGTCGCCATCAACATCAGAAAGTCGTAAATTTCTAATTTATACTGATGACACTATGGCGGGATGCTGTGGTACGTTTGCGCACTGGTTGGAATCAGTGATTGATCCACCTGGTGATAGGGTTATGCAACTGAATGTGAAACATCGTCAACTACTATTGACTCTGAAATACATAGTTAACCTCATGAGGGAGTGTTGGAGCGGAGACCTAAACAATACGTTGTATTACAATATGTCGTCGTATTTCCTCAAAACCGTTCTGGTTCATCACGAGAAAACTTGCCAAGCCAGGAATGTCGGGGAGTGCTTTGAAAATGTGATCGAAATGTTCTGTGAGTGGGATACTAATTCAAACACATTCCACATTGGTGACGTCACTTACGTACGCGATATACACTATAATAGGAATCTGAAAGCGAGGCAGTTGGTTGTCATAGGAGTGGTATGGTTTTTTCAACAAATAAGGCATTCTCCCACTCATAGTGCCTTGTGGCGCTCAATATTGGACAGTGATGCCTCAAAAGAGGAGTTTTTAATACGCTTCAGAGAGCAATGTCATTTCAAAGCACTAAAAGATGGAGCCACGAAGATGGGACTGAAACTGTGGTGAAATGCAAGGGTCGCTATGACATCAAAGTACAATAAAACAAGGGACATTCCTTTTAATGGCCAAAAGTATTTTCTGTAGACAGGTCAGAGAAGGCCCGTGTATACTTCAATGAAATTGTTCAATGAAGAGATGTGTTACATTGAACAGATTTTCTGTAAATAACATTTAATATACACTGAAATATCACTATTAATTTTTTAAACAACTGACAAAATATCACGAAGATGACTCAGATTGGATTATATTCTCACACACTGCCATCTCTTCAGTTTTCTGTCGTTGAACTTGTGATTAGTGAAACACGACTTTAATAACAATAAGGTTATAGGATTAGAAATTAGAAAGCGTAAGTTATAATGAAACTGCATTTCTGAGGTTTTAACAAAATCAGCACAAAGGGCACTTGATGTTATAGTTGTCATATTTTATAACTTGGTGAATTGACACATGATTTCTGGGTTGGAAATTAAAGAAATTAAAGTTTTTAAAATTTCAAACTCAGAATAAAATGTCACTTGCAATATCATCCAATATAACTTGTGTCCTTCTTTCCAGTACCTTAAAAACGTTCATGTATATAATGGATAATTTGCCTTTCAAAATTGAAAAGGTGAAGAAATTAAATTAAATTCGGAACTTATTCTTTACTAGGTCAACAATATTTTCCAACCTTTGATATTTTCAAAAATAATGTTTGTACCAAATTAAATTAAACCGATGGTTCAGTTTACATATCATTATAAAATAAATATATTTTAGTGAGCTTTTTGATCAGAACGACATAAACTTCCCCCTTAATAAATAGATAATATCATAATACTGCTTGCCAAATTTATTGAGAGAGGTGTATCTAAAAATTGCATAACTAGATCATTACATTGATAATATAAAATACAACTTGATATCAAACGGGTCTTATCAGTGAAGTTGTGTTAGTGGCACGTGCCTTGCACACTACCCCATGCATTCGTTTGACTCCGCTTCTACATGAGGGCTTCGTCTTCAGTAGTTTATAACTTGACTCTGCGCGCAGGGTACAATATACAGGGTGTCCATGTCGTATATTTACAATTACGAAGTGTAGCGACTCTATGGACACCCTGTTTATTGGATTGACTCGAATGTAGCGGTATCGCAGCTAATTTTATATACAGTGAAACCTGTGAAGTAGAACTCCTTTTAGACATGTTAGAGGAACCGGAGGTGTTCCACTTTGACATTTTGTTTCTACACCATTCCCTAATAAAATATAAACTGTTAAAAAGATGGCAGTGAAGTCAGCTGTATATCAATTGATTAAAAGGGGAATCCCCTTCATGATTGGATATACTATAGTACATACGCGGTCACTGGTAAGTAATTTTATTATTAAGTATTTATCATTTTTTTCAATATTGTTATGGGAGAGACAATTTGATCGTCTAAGTATCAAATAAGCCGTATTCTTAGGTTCTATTTGAGACATTTATGTGATCATCTGTACAACGTGCCAAAATTCTTATTATGATCTTTGTTAAAACCCAAATCAAATAAAACGAAACTGAATTTTAAATATGACTCACAAAATCAATCGTATTCGTGTTTCATTGTGTTTTTCCATTATAGGAAGTGCGTTTTGGAGGCTACGCACATTATACAGACTTTCTCAAAGACTGGTCACGAAACAATGGGAAACTCATCAAGTAAACCACCCGACCCTGCTGCTACACAGGGCACTACTAAACGTGAGAGTTGCAGACAGTTTGCAGATTGTGTGAATGAGAGCAAGGAACATAGAAGACGATATATTCACAGTGAAGACATTCCTGCACATATAGACTGCAGGTACATGTCCTAGTATGCAGCACTGGCGGATCAAGGGGGGGGGGGGCATGGGACCCGCCCCTTTTTGTGCCCCCCCCCCCTTTTACGGCCTCAACATTTTTACCTCCCCCTTGTTAGCTCCTGGATCCGCCAGTGTCCATTGTATATGGAAGTGGTCATTAAATTTGAACTATTATGGTTTTATGAAGGATTACGGTGTTAGTGGCAAATCGCAGAATCTAGTATGGTTTTGATAAAAATCCGGAGACGATCACCATAGGAACTCAATAACAACTTTTAACATGTCTCGGCATTAAAATATGCATGCAAAAACAAATGAGGAGTATATTTGCAACTAAAAACTTGTGGGACAGGGACCATTTAGAAACCGTGTTATGAGTAGGAGATCAATACACAGGATACTCCTGGATATGCCTGTTTATGTCCCTCACCCCGGTTATTGATAATCATTCGTATGTTTTTCAGTGATCGTCCCCCCTGCTGGTACTGGGAAAAATGCCACAGAAAAGATGGCACAGAGCACATGATTAAATACCTCCATCCCTGGGAGCTTTCAGGTAATATTTGATATAATTAAAAACCGCCTCCCCCTCCCAGCAAGATATTTTTTCAAAAGCATGCTGTTTTTACCATTTTGAGCACTTCTTGTGAAAGACGGGCCAAACTTTGAACTCCAAATGAAAAATGACTTCCACTTTGGCTCGCAAAGCTAGCAAAAACGCTACCATGGGCTATCAATAGAATGCCCATGACGCTACTAAAAGGTTTTTGGGTTTTCATTCTTTTTACGTTCGCATCTGAAGTCTTGAGATATGGTTAAAATCATCCAAAATCCATCGAGCCTTTGGCTTTTATCATAAATTAAGGTGCGTGATTCATAATGGCTCATACTGAGCTACCTTACAAAGTGTAGAAAGGATCTATCTAGGAAACCATGTTATTGCACTTGAGTTCTTTGAAGGCCTAGTTGTGCGATGCCGATCGGTAAACTGGTGCCACACGAAATCTTTTCATTGAGAAATAGAATAAAATTGTCCATCTGTTAACTTTAAATATTTTCAAATGAAAACTAGACTGATGCTTGGGTCTGATTTGGATTTGATTTGGACGACATGTTGGGTAATTTACGTGGCGGACATCTTGCTTTTAAAATGCGATATTCATCTTCATGTGTCTTGTTACATCATACTTTTACGTGGCGGCCATCTTGCTTTTAAAATGCGATATTCATCTTCATGTGTCTTGGTACATCATATTCATGATAATTTAATTGATTACCACTCGCTTTCAGTGATTGACGGGACGGAGGACGAGATTCGAATTGTCCTGATTGGGAAAACCGGTGCAGGTAAAAGCGCGACCGGAAACACATTACTACAAAAAGAGACGTTCGAGAGTTCACTGAGTTTTACGGCGCAGACGAGTTCCTGCTCCTATGATCACGTGTACTATGACATCAAGAAATACATGATCATCGATTCACCTGGAATCTTCGATAACAGAGTGGACAAGCGCAAAAACTGCGCTGAGCTTATCAAATGTTTGGCTCTGAGCGCCCCAGGGCCACATGTTTTCCTCATCACCATAGAGATCGGGAGATACACGAAAGAAGATGAAGAAGTGATCGATATTTTCCATGAGATGTTCGGCAAAGGCATGATGAAGCACTCGATAATCTTGTTCACATTTGCCGATAAGTTGGAGCAGGAAAACAAATCTATAGAATCAATGATACGGGAGTCACCTAAGAGTTTACAAAAACTCATCGCCACCTGTGATGGTCGTGCATTCACAATCAACAACAAAGCCAGTAGAGAAGATAGATCCAATAGGGCAGGTCAACTGATCTTAAAGATCACAGAATGGGGACTCGATGAAAACATTTTTCAAGATGAACTTGGTGTGCTTAAAAACATAGACACAATCATCAAGAAAGAGGAAAACGACACTGGCGCCTCAAGAAAGAATATGGGTCTTTTTCAAAAGTTCGTCACTTTCTCCGAAAAATTAAAACGGTTGATATTTCAATCAATTTTTGATTTTTTGGGACGAACAACGAACATTGTTCCAGAAAATTGCCTTTAAAAGATAGTTTAAGTGGAAATTACGAAATAACACAGCAAAATGTAAAAAATCTAACGTGCGTGACGTTTTTGATGAAATCAACAGTTACTTTTGTAATACAGACGATAAAATACATTTAAGTATCTCAAACTGTGTAAATGCATATGACGAAAAAATCGTTTGTCGATATTTCATGAATTTATGCATTTAAGGTTTCTCAGCTAATTTTAAATATGCTAACGTGCGTGACGTTTTTAAATATCTGCTTTTTTCATCTGCTATCCTGAGTTTCTCATATAACATGATATATTAGGAATAAATATGTTTTAACCAATCTAAAGCTTTAAATAAACGTTTTACCCTTGTAAGTTTTGTGTCATAAGGCATTAAGCAAGGTTTTTACTAAAAACTAACGTGCGTGATGAATTGATTGTGTTGACACGAAATATGTTAAACTCAATAATAAGTGTACATCTTGGTGATAAAGTAACAGCAGTCGATTTCTTAGTGTATAATACATGTTATACCTTGTCAAACATCATACGTATTATATTTTTAAACTGGCAAAATATGGATATCCGATTAATACAATGGTTTAGGACTTATTTCAACCACAGAAGTAAATTATTCTATAACGTACAGTATCTTGCTTCATGGTCATTCCATTTCCCCAGCAGGATACGTTACAATTAACATTAATAGCTTTTCTCAAATTATTTAGTTTGAAGAATGACATAGCGATATATTGTTATGTGTATTCATCATTTTATTCAAGAAAATGTTTGCTTGAATTCTACGTGCGTGACGATTTTAAGTTGACACGATTTTAACAGTAAAATGCTAATGGACTTCATGAGACCAACATATCTTGTAACTGGCACAAAACAATTACTTTGAAAATGTAACAACCACAAGGTTAACATTAAGACGGTAATCTATCTACTTACAACTGACTACAATACAATACAGTTACATTTTAAATAGCACTGTTTGAATTTTATACATTTTATATCAAAACCAGTGGAAATTTAAGTTACTATTGACATTTGATCATCATCATGATGATCGGGATTTTAATTCAGGCTCCTCAGGTTTTGATTTTTCTTCCCTCACAAAAGTTTATCAAATTCTGACAAATTGGAAAAAAGCCTTCCAAACTTAAATAAGGAGCGTGTAACTGATAACAAGAACAGTGAAATGTGACAACGTTTGTACACTTGAATGCTAAAATTAGACTATGAAAGTCATAAAGGTTCAATAATGTTCATCATAAATGTTCATTTGTCGGTGCCATGGTTCCACATTCTCTCAGTAAGTCAGAACCCATCTCTGTCCAGCTTCCTTGGCCTGGAAAGTAATGTCATAAAATATTGACTTCATTTTCATTTATATTTTATGGCTATTTCATAACAGGAGAAATATAAGGCATTGTATGGATCAGGAGTAATTGTTATCCAATTATTCAAATTACTGTGTACAAACCTGGTTCCAAAATTCACTTCTCTTTATTTACACATTTGTGGCACGTAAAGTGCATTTGGTCGATGTTTCCGTATCTCGCACATGACTCGTGGGCCCATCTCTTGCAGCTGGTACACATAATCTATAAGTAATGTACGGAACAATTAGGAAATATCAGAATTTTAATTTATGTGTCAAAGTAACCAATGCAGTAAAATTCACTGTGTTATTTATATCATATAATGGACTTTCACGTTGGAACTGTTGCTTGGAAATAAAAATTTAAGGATTATCAATATTGAGAATGTAACAATTACTTTACATACCCATTGTTCTCGTTTCTTTGGGTCCCTCATATCATTGTATTCAAAATCACATTTCACGCACTTGTTTTCATCGTTCTCTCTCAACACGGATCTCGGCTTTTCCTTCACACCTTGCTGTGCATCGTCTCTAGGCTCTCTAGACTGGGTTCTCGCATTTCGATCACGTTTTGTCTTGGCTTTTTTCACTGGTCTTGTATTCTCCTGATTTGTCAACTTTAGGCTTATATCACCTGACCAACCATTCACCGCGCATTCAGCTGTTGTTTCGCCTGTGGTACAAACCTTGCAGAAGCAGGAGTACTCTCTCGTTTGGACCACCTGTGGCATTATACCTCTGACAGCGTGGAGCTTTCTTGTTCCCTTTAAAGTTTTTACATTTGTTCTGTTTGATCGAATCCTGTTTCTAACAGTTTCCTCTGAAGGAACATAGAAGAAGGTTCTCCTGTATTTTTCACAGCTTTCCTTGTTTTCTTTTTCTGGCTTCGTTTTTGTTTTTTCGAGAAAGTTACAGAGTTCATGAGCATTTCGAATGACTACTTCTCTTGCTTTCATTGCCCTCGATGCAGCACTTTTGCATACTGCACTTTCGCCATCGCTCGGACTCTTGCCGTGTCTGGAGCCAAAATAGTGTTTTTCTGGGATAATACCATATAGCCAGGTTATTAAAGCGATATGACACATCTTATAAGTCTATATTCCAAGTGCTACATATGAGGTGTCAAATGACAAACATCTCCTAATAGTCCATGGTATGACTTCCGAATATGAAGGATCCGTAGCATAGTCTAGCGCAGCAACATTTGAAGTAATATTTATGAAGGTGTACATGTCTTGATTCTTTTAAAATACCATTTGCCGAAAAAACTTCCGGCTTTCGGGTCGAAAAATGTCTTTCATCACAAGGGATCAAAAAACGTAAATATTTTGATTCGAACTTTTATACATTTTATAAGACACAGACCGTTATTCTAAGCATACGAACAAAAATAAATTATCATAATTTAAAAATATACTATTTAATGTACCGTACATGTCGGTGTTTAATTAGTGTAATTATGCAAATGTGTTTTTCAGATTTTGTTTGATTTTTCAAATATGAGCCAAGTCGATTCAACAAAACGTATTGAAAACCCCTTTTGTGAAAAACTAGCATAATTAAAACATTTGTCATTCCAATATAAAAGTGATTCATTTGTAGCATTTATCTTATTAATACCTGAGAAACAATACAAAACGTCAATGCACTGATTACATATTTTTTAGTATTGATAAGAAAGATAACCTCAAACTTATAGCTTACAAACCTAAATCATATATTTAAAATCATTTCTTATTATTTTCTGTTGCATTGTGTACTCCAAATTGTGAAAAATTGGGATTTTATTTCTTGGTGATTTTTTGACCTCTGTTAATGGCAGGCATAATTCAGCCTGAAAGCCGGAAGTATATTGAACGGTTATAATACAAATTATTAGGGGACATATGTAGGTATGTTAATGTAAGGTCAAATATCGCTGCACTATACTGTGCTACCAACTCCTTTATTAGACGTCCTAGAGATTTCATACCATGGACTATAACGTCAAAGTAAGCTTATTCCTTTGATACCTACCTATATACTAGGGCTGTATTGAACGTCGAACGTGACGAAGCATCAAGTCCATAAACGCATTAATTTTACTATATTCGGGTTCTACAAGCAACGTGTTTTTGTTGGGAACTGAATATATGTTGAAAATATACAAGTTATGGGAAAAATACGTCGAATTATACGAAATACTTACGTCTTCTGCTAGCCAAAATGGCCTCAGCCGGGACCAATCTAAATCTAAAACTATGTGGAACGAAACTGTAGCAATTTCTATCAATGCAATATCATTTATGGAATAAATAGTCTAAATAGTCGATCAAAGATCATTTATATTATTCAAATAACCATGCATAAAGAATTTGTTTTCAGTGAAGTCGAGAAGAATTGAGTCCATCTGAACCGACGCTCAATCACTTTGTCCATTGGTGTCAAACGTCACGCACGTTAGAATTTTATTGGTTCTATTCTATTTTCTAAAGCGGACATAAAATGCCAGAAGGCGATTTGCCGCATGATCGTGTACTATGCCATGAAAAATATATCAATGAAATAAACCTATTGTTTAAAAAAAAAAAAATTCTATTTTCTGCATACAATAATTGACGAAATTTTCTGAACTGTGAAACTAAGATTAGTAAAAGCAATAAAAATCAGTGCTTGGCACTCCTGACAAGACTATTGACATAACCATTAACATAAGGACAAGATGTACATCTTTTATAACGTGCGTGATTGCTTGACACGAACACTTTTATCACAAAAAAATAAAGCTATGGTGTCAAAAAACAGATTAATGACGAAAACAACCACATTATTTGCTGATTCCAGATGAATGTTCCCTTTCTTACATTTAGGTGTGTGTGGAAATCGTTTTATATCAACGAGAAATTTAAGTAATTCGTTAATGAGAGAGTATGACACGATAAAGGACTACGTGCGTGGCGGATTAACGTGCGTAACGAAGTTTGACACCAATCTTCGAGCAACTTATAAAGACCATATTGCCGCTTCAGAGTTGAAACTTACCACTGGATCTATAACATCTCGTAAATGTGTTAATAAAATACAATTTCATTTACACATGTGATCGCGTATTTTGTATGAAAATAGGCTTTCTAACGTGCGTGACGAGTTTGACACGAAAAACGATAATGCACGCAACTGAGCATAAAAATTATTTTCCATTTATACTTCATATAGCATTGAACATAATGAGAGCTCGGTGTATCCTCCTTTCGAAAAAACACTTCATCTGACTTTTTGTAAAAATAATCAGCCTGGAGCTCATGAATAACGTGCGTGATGGTGTTTGACACCATGCACCACGCACGTTAGTTCTAAATTGACATTGTCTTATTTTTCGAGTATGGTAGATTTATTATCTGAAAACGAAATGATTCACATAGATAACCTCTGTAGACTTGTGGCAACACATTTTCCGCCTCATTTCCAGAAAGAAAGATCCAGGGGATGTATCTCTGATGTACCCCCCAAAATTGCTTAAAAAACTGCAAAAACAGCTGGACACGAAGCCCAAAAAAGTGAATAACTTCAACAAATTTTAACATTTTCACCTGATATTATCCTCAGTATCTTTTTGACCTCTACTGAGTTGAATAGAATAATCGTTTTTGGCTATACTTCTCAAAATGTTGAGATATCGAGCATGTAATATTAGAACTTTTGAGTGACGAACTTTTGAAAAAGACCCATATACGGGATGCAATAGTGAGAGGACTGCATAAAGCAAAGCCAGTACTAAAAGCAATATTTCCAGTGATTTCTGGTTTAGGTATGATTCTGACAAGGGTAAAACACCCTATTGCAACGATGATTGGAGGAATACTAAGTGGGCTTGGTTTAGTAGGCACTGGGGTGAATGCATTACTTGAATACATGCTGCCAAATATAGAATAAACTTTAACCTTCTGGTCCCTGGGATACAATTCGATGCGAAGTCGTCCAAGAACAGCGAAATCATTATAGGTTAACTGTTATATAAGATGGCTAACCTAAAATGTTAATGTGTCGAACCGATTGGTCATTGTTGGTGGCCGGTAATGTATCAAGTTGAGTAAAGTAGTTATAAAAACCTTGAAAAAATACTGAAGATAAAGTACTTAATGACTTTATAAAATTTGATAAAAAAATAATCATTATACTGTACTGTACTGAAGATAATGTACTTAATGACTTTATGAACTTTGATAAAAATCATTGTACTGTACTGTACTGTACTGAAGATAATGTACTTAATGACTTTATGAAATTTTATAAAAAATAATGCATTTATTGGCTTGTAATAAACATTTTTAAGATTCTCACAGTAAGCCTAATATTAAAGATGTAAAGATATAAGTATTGACATTATATAACATTCAGAATACCTCTACGTTTTGATTTTAATACGAACACAATCTTCAATTAAGAACCTTCTTTTTGCATTGTAAATATCAAAGCTCTAAAAAGGACAGTTTTGGATGCACGGTCGAAGATGGCCGAAGACTCTAAAAGGAATTTGATTGGTTCTTTAAAGCATCTTCGGCCATCTTCATGATTTTAACATCTTGGATGACAAAATGAGATGTATCGGTGCTCTCCCGATGTAGAAATTGATGGAAAAATATTGCATTTGAATTTGGAGAATTTGGAGACTGTTCCACATGTGGTCAAAGTTTTTTTTGGGATCTGTTTTTAAATATAGATGGCATCGCAATCAATCTGTTTTACAATTATCTGCTAGTGCTGCCATCTTTATATCGCCCTAAAACGTACATCTACTTACTATTCCACATATGGTCAAAGTTCCTGTTGGCATCTGTTCCAATGCAGTCTTCGTCCCACGTTGGAGACATAGTCTTTCGCCACATTCTGTCCTATTTAATATAAAGTAAATCCTTAGTACTCTCCCTTCAAAAAGTTTGGCAATGGGATCTTCTCTTTTGCACCACATGTTTAAAGCCCGTTTATGTTCAACGATGTTAACAAATTCATCACTAATTTTTGAACAAAATTAAGATTACGAGAACTTTTCAACTCTGCAAATAGATAAAACCTTGACCTTAATACGCTTTAACAGACTATCCGGTTGGTTGCCACACTTTTGGAGGGGGTGTATATTTATTTGATGGCTTGTATTCTCATTATTTTGGAATTATTAAAACTAGGAACAAAGAATCATGTATCATTCTAAATCCAATCAGGCCATGGACTTACCACGTTCCATGTATTGAGGTATCCATCAACATTGATCAATGGCATTATGTACCAGTCATAGTTGTCCAGGAGTGGGGTAACACTAGCGTCGGTGCCATATCCCGTGAGCAGCTGAAAAATAGTACGAGGGTGAGACAAAAACTTTGACCCTAGTCATTACCCGTTGACCATTGCTGATATGGGATCAGTGAGTATGTGACTTGTCTGGAAAAAACATAGCATCTTGTCTAAAATTTCTCATCCAATGGTCAAAAATTGCATATGGAGACTTTCACATTTGGCCAGTATGTTGTGGAATCCATAAAATTTAGTACTTGGAGACTAGTGGGCTTTATGAATATCATACTTGTGGTGGTTTCTTCATTTGTCTATATAGATCTGTTCTAACAATGTTTATTTTGCAGTATTATCTACAATGATTTGTATGTGGCATATTCTGTGAACATTGAATTTAATGGGAATAAATTGAAAAATTAAAAAAGATACATTATTTTATGATCACACCTCGTATATTAAAAATTAGCTCACTTGCTCTATGACGTACATGACCGTAGCTGGGGAGATCCATTCTCTCGCATGTATTCCACCATCTAACCAGATTTTTCTACGTCCATCACCAGTGCTTAGCTGTAAGCATACAATTACACCATTAATATCACATAGTTAGTAAAATATTTATTAAAGTCTCACACTGTAGTTAACAATATACATGTATATACTAAAATACTACATTAATAGTACAATAACGCCATTTTGAACGGCTGAAACAGCAAGAAAATCTTACGCACTGAACGATATCTAATTTCCCGGGGAAATTTGCCAGTCGTTAAATGCATTGACCGGCTATATTGACCACCACTATGACGACACATATTGCTCAGGTCGATATAGTAAAATGAATGCCTTCTAAACTAGCACTAAACCCCTAGAACTAGCCCGGCAAGGTGGTAATAATTAATAGTCCAAGCCGGCTTCGGCGTATGAGAACACCTTTATTTGAACACAAATATAGTGAACACATTTCTCACTGTGAACATATATTTACCATCCCTCTTATTAATATTTATATAGCATAGTCAACACGTTTTATAAACATATGTACGCTGAACACCTTTTTTTGTAAACACATATACAGTAAACGTCTTATTTGTTAATATATTTTACAGAGTAAAACACATTAATTATGAACACTCGGAACACATGAACTGTAAATCTTTTTCTCGTTTATGTTTATTCTACAGTGGCACCCTCGTAAACACTTAAACAAAATGTCTTATTTGTTAATATATTTTATAGTAAAAAAACATTAATTATGAACACTTAGAACACATGAACTGTAAATGTTTTTCTCGTTAATGTTTATTTTACATTGACACCCTCGTGAACACTTAAACAAAAATGTCTTATTTGTTAATTTATCTTATAGTAAAACACTTTAATTATGAACACTTAGAACACATGAACTGTAAATGTTTTTCTCGTTTATGTTTATTCTACATTGACACCCTCGTGAACACTTAAACAAAAAAGTCTTATTTGTTAATATATTTTATAGTAAAACACATTAATTATGAACACTTGGAACACATGAACTGTGGATGTTTTTGCTCGTTTATGTTTATTCTACAGTGACCACCTCGTGAACACTTAAACAAAAATGTCTTATTTGTTAATATATAGTAAAACACATTAAATATGAACACTTGGAACACATGAACTGTAAATGTTTTTGCTCGTTTATGTTTATTCTACAGTGACCACCTCGTGAACACTTAAACAAAAAAGTCTTATTTGTTAATATATTTTATAGTAAAACACATTAATTATGAACACTTGGAACACATGAACTGTGAATGTATTTCTCGTTTATGTTTATTCTACATTGACCACCTCGTAAACACTTAAACAAAAATGTCTTATTAATTACACATTAATTATGGATTCTTATACAGTAAACACCTTTTTCTATTTTATTGTAAACACAAGCATAGCAAACACTGAACACCCACGATTACAGTAAAAGCAGATTATTGATTTTCAAAAGCAATACTCTCTTATGCTACTAGTTACGAGAAACCAGAAATGCCATGCAGAGTACTCAGTATTGACCTAGCTAGTGTCTATTCTAAAATAGACTTTCACTAAGGATTTAGAAGATTAATTTCACAACAGTAGTTTACACGCTGAGTTCCAGCATTCTATATTGCTAGGTGTCTTTTTTCAAGAGCTGCTCGTAAATAAAATAACCAAGTATTTTCGTAACTGGACATGGAGCAGAGAGAAGAAACACGAAGATAAAATGATTATGAATGAAATCTTGCTCATTTACACTGAGGAGAATCAGGCTCGAAATGTACTTGTTTGAGTAACTAGATTGATAGACTTCTTTCAAGAGTCGTCAGTAAATAAATTGAGTTCAGGGAGTAAGTCCTCGATGTCATTTAACTAACATGTAATATGAAATCTAATCTGAAGAGATGAACGAGGTATAAAATGAAAATCTAAAGTCAGAAAGAGTGCCATATTTCTGGTAAACAATATTCGGGATATATATACACAGAAAAAGAACCGAGTATTTAATAATCAGGACAACAATATAAAAAGAAAGTGGACCATATTTCTTGGTTTATGATAATCCACATAAAATCTATAACAGAAAGAGAACGCTTTCGTTTTCTACTTGGTATAAGTACAGTAGAACATTATACAAGATAGGACTTTGTTTTCTGGTATAATCAGTAGAACATCTATTCACAAATAGGCGACTATATTTTCTGATATATCATGTACAAGTGTCTGGAGGTTCAGGTTCCCACTGAGCCACTAAAACTAGTTGAGAAACCCATCCCAGTTCCACCCTCCAAGGGTCTGGTGATAAAAGTAAGTAAATGAAATGTATTATGATTATTCTACTTTAAAAACAGTGCTTAAAATACATTCATTTCAATGTTCCAATCCCTCTCTTTATGAGTTTATTTGATAGCTATGTATAGTCTAAAATATGAGCTTAAAGTCCCCGATAAATCGGGCTACGTATACCGCCGTGTTTACATTAGGGGATTAGAAGAGTTTATTTTTTATTTAGGTATGCAAGCTACGTATATCAATATCAGGCCTTCATTCATGTACTCGTGTGCATGTAATCAGCATGCCCTTCAATATTATGTAAACCAGGCTATTCAAGTATAATGTAAATGTACACTATTTATGTGTGTACTACATACAATACAATTCCCTGGGAAACAAAACACAAATACGTTTTATATGTTCAAAATGAGCCATTTGATTGATGCAAACACTTAATAGCTTTAGGTTATTGTTATTTATTTCTATAATATTCAACATAATTATTTACATAGATTGTGAGGGGCCGAGGCTACATAGCATTATTGGCCCCCCTCTAGAAAGTTAAAAACATATAATAAATCACTGGAGTGTGTAGGATTGCAACGGACAGACGGTCGTCCACCAGGTCTTGCCCATGATGATGTATATGAGTGTTAATGAGAGATGATGTGAAATGAGGAGGATGGTCATTCTAAGATGTTATCGATATAATTTGAAGATAGTTGAAGGCATTTTGTATTCAGTTCACTATTTAAATTTTCATCTCCAAAAAGTATAAATTCTATTTTTTGCTTTCTGGTTTTTCCAAAATAGCACATAATATCAAGATTGTCTAACTTTAGGATGTTCTGTATGTAATCATTTCTATGTAATGTTTCTTAATAGCTTCATAAATAACATCTACAAAGTAAACTTCCCTGGTTAAGATTGTATGGGAAATCATCACGAGACGAAGATCGTTCGCCTTCCTGGCTTACCTCTGAATCGTGTACCGGGCAATCTCTTTATATAGTTTAGCGAGAGCGGTGCGCCTGCGCAGTTTTAAACTTTGGCGCACACTTTAACAAATATAACGAATAACTATACTCCTAAACTTTTCTACCCTTGCTCACGATATAAACATTTGTGTGTAGATTTTACACCTGGTCTGAGGTTAATGTCAATATGAAGTATTTGTATAGCATAACAGTTAAATAAAAAACTACAAGAGCGCTTTGATAAGGCTTGTTAAGGTGACTTGGACTATCTCATAAAAATTAAAATTAAACCATAGCGTAACACAGCATAATTAGAGTTGATCAGACTTTAATTCTAAAATAAAGGCCATGCTTAAAGTAATGCCTGAATCAGTTTGTTTAGTAAAATGCCAGAATTATTTGCTGATATAGTATCTTGAAATCGACATTCAATTTCATTGATATATGTTTATTTACGTTATATTAGCCAACTAGATTCATCAAAGGGTATACTGTTCAAATTAATATTTTGACAGATAAATCATACATAGACAGGCTTAGCATAATTTTAACCATTACTTTAAATAGCTAATTTAAAAGCGTTTCATAACAATATTGTATATCATTTATGTATTGAAAATATGACTGTAGTGCTTTGTATTAATTACATTATACATTACATTACATTATCGTGATATACTAATTTAATAATGAAACGTCGCTTGTTTCGTTCGGCACTCATGCTGAAGACCCGGATAATAAATCAATCTCTGGTATGAACAAATATACAAAAACTTACTCACTTCGAGAGCCATGTTAGATTTTGAAACTTATGGCTCTCAAACGGAGAAGTGAACAGCTGATCAATAGTGACCTTTGAAATTGAATTAAGTCGATCCGCGGCTTACTTTTGGTCTCTAACTGTGTCTTACATCAGTATCATCAATCCGTGTAAGTATTGGAGCGCTGGAGTACTTCTTTTTCGATCAAGACTTGTAAATTGTTCATCGAGTTAAAGTTTTACAGACCTATTTCCAATATGGCGGTTTGCTAGGTGCGAGATACGCAACGAACGAAATGAATTTTGAGAATTAGTTAGGTTCGGACAACCTCCGGAGATTTACGAAAATGTCCGAGCAGAAACCGCCATATTGGAATTTGGCAGTAAAACGATTCACTCGACCTAACAATTACAAGTCTTGATCGAAAAAGAAGTACTCCAGCGCTCCAATACCTACACGGATTGATGATACTGATGTAAGACACAGTTAGAGACCAAAAGTAAGCCGCGGATCTACTTAATTCGATTTCAAAGGTCACGATCACTGAGCTGTCCAAATGCTCCGTGGGAAAGCTATTATATCAAAATCCAAATAGCTTTCGCAGGAAGTAAACAAAAACAATTTGATTTGATGATCAAACCATTCATTTTCAGACTGAGTCCTGTGGAATGTGCCATACAGACATTGCTATAGCAGACAACTACATGAAGCTTGCTGATGGTTTTGAAGACAATACGCTAACTCAATATGACCCAGATTTCAAATACCCTGTAGTAATGGGTAAGGGGATGGTGTTCGAACGATGAAAATTGTGGAAGAACGAGGTTGATTTTGAAATGATCTTCCTCCCCTTGTAAAACGAAATTTAAAAGTATCGATTCATCGTTAATTTGAATATTAACATTTTTCAATAACTAATCTTCATTGAATATAAACTGTGCTTTTCATCCATCTAATAACTATATTTGCTATTTATTTATACATAAACCATAAAAATACTATTTGACCAATATTGACCATAATCTATTTCAGGACATGAGGTTGCAGGAACAGTTTACAGTATCGGTGATGGAGACTGCCTAGGTAACAATGATAGAAGGAATTATAATTTGAAGTAAAAGAGAAAGTAAAATGTTAGCAGCAATCTTTGGCGAAAATCATGCCAATGTTTGTCTACAGTTTTTTGGGAAAAATGCCTGATGAAATCTTGAAGATTGGAGATCTAGAAATTTCCAAATTGATGAGAACAAAGGGGAGTCCTCCTTTTGAAAACTTGAAAAGCTTTATTTTGCTTGTAACGTCTTATTTAGGAAGTGAGGAACTGGAAGTTGGTGACCGTGTTGCAGTGTATACATTCCAAGGTTGTCAGAACTGTAAGCTATGCAACACAGGAAACCACTTGATGTGTGACAGGAGACAGTGTAATGATCTAGGCCAGGGTGGTGATGGAGGGTATGTAATGTACTGTAGAATATACAGGGTGTCCCGAAAGTATGGGGCCTCCCTAGGCAGGCATACACCAATGTTAAATTCAATATCCTGGAAACAGCGCTTACCTCAATGTGACCAAAAATGTGGATGCTATCGTCAGAGAGAGGATGGATATTGAGTTGAAAAAAGAGGTTAGTGAGGGTAGATACTCCAAGGAAATTCTTCTTAAAGTGTCTCACATATTCGATCAAAATTTGCCATGCAAACATGTTAGTCTACTTTACTGGCCCCCCTTGCTGTAACAAGGAACCCAAAACACATTCAAACGTAAACATAAACCAATTAGTCACTTCACTATGAAAGTGAGGGGTGTACGCTGTGTGCATGGACTAACACAATATCAGTGGCCATTTACTGTGTCAACTTAGTAACCCTTGCATATCGTGCTCACTCAAGTATTGAATAATTTTTTTATGATCTAAATGTTTGTGGTTTATAAAAAAATGTGATATATTTTAGTTAGAAATACATTAATTAATATATTCATTCAAACAGCACTAGAATGCGGGAAGAGAGAGCAATGGTGACAAAATGCAGACAGACTTTTCCGTAAGGGTTTCAAACATTTCTGAACACAATCATACATGTACTTCATGTGTACTGTTATTTTTAGTGCTGTATTTATAGATATAATTTCACGTATTAAAATCATATTTTCCCGCAATGACTTCAAATTCGGAACCACACCCATATCACATTTTCTTCAATAACTCCAAACATGTGTAAACATTGACCATGTGCATATAAATTCAGATTTCATGAGCTCTTTCCTATTCGAGTACCTCATACACCCCTGCATGGATTTGAGTTGGATTCACCTTTTATACGTGAGCCGACACACTCTCAAACGCTGATTGGATAAAGATTGCGAGAATCTTTAAATGCCTTAAAAAGGTTTTATGAGCATTACAAAATGCCATACCCCTATTTGAAGTGTATTTAAGGTCATGTCTGGAAAGAATTGCTGCTGTTAACATGGCCAAGGGAGACACGGCGACTATTAATTTTGTGTAAAACCAAGCTTTAATTTAAAAACTACATTTTGAAATGCCTTTTTGAACTTTTTCCCGTTATTGGGTTGAACCATGATACTTGGCAAATTAATGTAACTTTGGATCAGCTTTAAAATGATATATGACACATACTATGGGGACATTGGTGTATGCCTGCCTAGGGGGAACACTTTCGGGACACCTTGTAGAGTGTGGCAACCTGACTCAGCCTGTTAAAACCTTCTAATGTTTCAAATATTATTGTAAAGTTAAAGTTGGTAGTACAGACTGCAGACTGTTCTAGAATAGCCGAAACAAGCAGGGTATCTGAGGTTGAATTTGTGAAAACCTACTAGATTTTATCTGAACGAAATTATGTTATTCCACTTTCAGATATGCAGAATATGTTAGTATTCCAAACAGGAAGTTTGTTTTCAAGCTACCAGATTCTATCACCATGGATACAGCATGTTTATTTTCGTGCAGTGCATTAACAGCCTACAATGCCGTCACCAAGACTAAGCCTGCAATTGAGAATGCACTCAACATATTTGGTAAATGTAATAGTAAAATAGATGTGGTGTGATATCATACTTTGCTTTGTTAAACTTAACGATAAAAGTACTTCTACCTGTACTTAACGCTGAGAAATTGTACAGCTGTTGTTTGAAAAAATTATACATATAAAAATCAAAAATGCAAACTCTAAAAACCATGTCATAAATAAAATCAATAATTAAAACCTGTACTCAATACATATTTTGAAAAAGATATCATTTCGGTTTTGCTACGCTGTTGATCATAGAAACAGGAGGTTTAGGTCAATTGGTACCACGAATTGCAACAGATGCACCAACCAAAGAGACAAAATAATGGTTTTCATATAATATTAAGCCTATTCACTTTGCCCTGCAACTTTTCCAGGTTCTGCTACGCTGTTGATTATAGGAGCAGGAGGTTTAGGTCAATGGGCAATTCAGATTGCTAGAGCTGTGCTTCCCACGGAGACCAAAATATTAGTAGCAGATATTTCAGTAAGAATCACAATGGTTTAAATAACCTTTATAAGACCTCAATTTCTATGCTCTTCAAATTAAAGATAATTCTTTGATAACGCCTTTTTTTCACTTGATGTTTGAAATAAATAAATGAAATGAAAAAATTATCACTTGAAACAATTATAAATACCTATAGTAATTGTCAACGTTGATTGTGTTAAAGTCGTGTAATCAAAAGTTCATAAATATGGGGAATAATGCTATCAATATCAGACATGATTGCTGTATGAAGCACCTATTCAAAATGTTCCGTATCAGATGGTCACATTATTGTTTGTTCCAGTATCAATTGTGATATACTAGAGATATATTGAAATTAACTTATTGCCATTCATAGTTTGCGATATACGCATTCAGCTATTTTCGACATTTTCCTCTGTGAGAATTATTTTCGGGTTTCATTGTAATACAGGCTGATAGGCTGGCAGCTGTACAAGAGAGTGTGGATATGACAGTGGAATGGTCTACAGATGGTAAATATAACCTAGATTCATCATATACCATTGGATAGATAACTGATATGTCACTCAAAACACTTTAAGTGGCTTTTGAAAATCTCCACCCTTTAACTCTACCAAGAAATATTTAGCGCAACAATTTCTTGACAAATAAATGTCAGGGGCTTAACCAGCAATTGTCAAGGGGGTGCGATTTTTGGGTAAGCACCACTGTGAGCGAAGCGAATCCCAAAAGAGGGATACGGGCGTTCACCCCAATAAAACTTTTTTTTATATTGTATATGGTGCATTCTAGGCATTTCAAACTATGATTTGTTAATGTTCTTTCAACAAATTTTACAAAATTGCTTTTTTCTTTTTTTGTGAAGAGGGGGATGCGATTGCACCCATTGCACCAATTTCATTTAATTTTGTTAAAAGTGGCGCGGCAAATATTGGTTCAAATCCTAAGTCAAAATTGGCATTTTAAACTAGATCTCCTTAATAAGCTAATCGAGAGGAAAGGGATTGGTCATGTTTTCTTTCTATTTTTGGCAGATGACATGTCCTTCATGACTAAGGTGAAAGAAGTGACAGGTAGTGAATTTGTAGAGGCCTCCATAGACTTTGTTGGGAATCCTGTTAGCATGAAACGTGCAATGTGGCTTGGAAATAAGGTACTTTGTCTACGTCATATTAACATATGGGTAGCAAGGATCTAAAACTAAGTGATGGGGACATCTTAAATTGGCTAAAGAATTTAGAAAACGTCGGAATTTTCCTCCTCTGCTTCATGCCTGCTTATGTTTACCATAAACTCCACATTTATGATGGAGATTTATCAGAAAGCAAAATACCTTGCCACTTATCGGGCCAGATATGACTCTGGTGGAAAAAGCTTCTCACTGAGATGAATGAGGATGAAATTAATCAGGGCTCGAACAAAGGTCTGTTTTGACCATTAATTGTTGAAGCTTAATAGTTTCGTAACTGATTGAGTGTTTCAACAACTATTTGGTTGAAAATATTTTCAATGAAATGTAATGGGTACCAAGAATTCTTACAACGGACACTTTTCAGGGTTCCACGCATTGTATAGTTGGATTACTCGGCGGTGCTACTACCTTCCCAGTGCCATTTATCCCATGTAAGGTGATGGATATCCATGGGATATATCTCGGATCCACCCAGCAAATGCAGGAAGTCATAAAACTTGCAGCAACGGGCAAGGTGAATTTGAAATACGATTTCGCTCACTTTTCATATTTTAGAAATTAACCCTCTACTTTAATATAATCCATTTGATATACATGTTTTTAGGAAAACACTTAAGAATTCAAGTCCTCCATTTAGACTTGAACAAGGACGGATCTATAAAAAGGCTATTTCATTTATCTCCGAGAGAACTTCCTTCTCTAATACATTCCTTCTGTATTTCTTGCGTTCCTAATGTATAACTAGAATTTCCACATTATTACTTGCATTTCCTCTTTCTCGCACTCTTTCTGCATTACTTGCATTAAACTGTTTTATATAACTTACGATTGTCCGTATTTCCATTTTAGATAGTGGCTCCACCTATGGAATACTGCAGACTTGAGGAAGTGAACGATGTTTTGAACCGACTCAGAAAAGGAAAAATTAACGGACGTGCCATCATCAAGTTTGACTAGAAAAACATCACTGTTTTAGAACAAACAGGGTCTAATCAAGGCATTCTATATACAGGGTGCTTCATAATGACCATCGCCCATCAATCACCAATCCTAGGTGGAATATCTCCATGTGTAATATATCATTTGAAAGCTTGACCAATTCTGGACTTATTGACATATTAACTTTAGATTAAGCTCAGCAGCTTTAACAACTTGCTGCACACCACTACAAAAGGTGTCCATTTGATCTATAGCATACAATTGAACAGCCACATGTTCTAGGAAATTGGCTGTGTGTCCTGTTAAAAACAATGATAACTAAGGCTCAGAACAGTATTAATCAACAGTAATGCACCAATTATAGCATTTGATGGATGCTGGAAAGTATTAATTGTAGAAAAAGTCTAATCATGGAATGATTATAGGTACTTTAACCTGAATTTTGTGAATATCTTGACCTTGTTCCCAAGAACAGTGAATTGTTCCCACCTACTGTACCTTGAACACTTGCAGTGGTCTATCCTCGTATATCGAGCCTATGTTTAACAAAGAACACGTTACACTACTTGGACATCTGCTAACTGAGCCGAGGAGCAGTGAATTATTCCCACCTACCTTGAACACATGCAGTGGTCTACCCTCGTATGTCGAGCCTATGTTTACCAAAGAACACGTTACACTACTTGGACATCTGCTAATTGAGCCGAGGAGCAGTGAAGTATTCCCACCTACCTTGAACACATGCAGTGGTCTACCCTCGTATGTCGAGCCTATGTTTACCAAAGAACACGTTACACTACTTGGACATCTACAAATTGAGCTGAAGAGCAGTGAATTATTCCCACCTACCTTGAACACTTGCAGTGGTCTACCCTCGTATGTCGAGCCTATGTTTAACAAAGAACACGTTACACCACTGGGGCATCTGCCAATTGAGCTGTTCAGCCAGGCATAGATCTGCAAATATAAATGAATCTATATATGGTATTATAACTCATATACGGTATCGTTATATAGTATATAGTATCATCATGTTGTCCATAAATTGACCTCGGTGTAAGGCTTGCGTACCATAACCTTGTCTGCACAAAGAATTAGGTCTTGAATATATCATGAACTTGTAGTAATAAAAGGGTAAATGACCAATGGATTCTAGATCACTATTCAAAATGTAACAATGTCTTAAGACTCGTCTCCTGTTACTCAAATCAACATAGAAGTTATGTTTTCTTCATTCTCTAAAATTTTAACATGACATTCAATTGTAAAATCCGGCTCGTTGCTTGCTTTTCCCATCCATATTTACTTACACACTGTTTGTAAAGGGTGTTTTTGATAGAGCAGAGGGACAGAGTCCTACATACAGTATAGTTGTTCTTTTTTTATTTATTATTTATTTCATTGATATAGTTTAAAATACAATTACAATAACATCCCTAAATCGCCAGAGGGCATTATATAGGAATGGTGAGAGGCTGGGGGTGGCAGGCAGACAGGGTCCCGGACCAGAGCAAGTGTGACAGAACAGGATATCAGAGAGAGAGACATGAGGGAGGGAATTAGCTATTGTCTATAATGAAGTCAAGTATCAGTGAAATGGCTTTAGAGTTTACATCTATGCTTAAAGTGTGCGCCAAAGTTTAAAACTGCGCAGGCGCACCGCTCTCGCTAAACTATATAATTATAAAGAGATTACCAGGTACACGATTCAGAGGTAAGCCAGGAAGGCGAACGATCTTCGTCTCGTGATGATTTCCCATATAATCGTAACCAGGGAAGTTTCACCATTGAAATTGAAAATTACTATTAGATATACTTTGTAGATGTTATTTATGAAGCTATTTAGTGTTTGCATCAATCAAATGGCTCATTTTGAACATATAAAAAGTATTTGTGTTTTGTTTCCCAGGGAATTGTATTTTATGTAGTACACACATAAATAGTGTACATTATACAGTACTTGAATAGCCTGGTTTACATAATATTGAAGGGCATGCTGATTACATGCACACGAGTACATGAATGAAGGCCTAATATTGATATACGTAGCTTGCATACCTAAATAAAAAATAAACTCTTCTAATCCCCTTATGTAAACACGGCGGTATACGTAGCCCGATTTATCGGGGACTTTAAGTTTGGGCTTCCTGTTTTCAAAATGGAGATAAAATATAGTTGTAAGAGCACTAGCTACCCCTTAACGGTACTTTCACGAATGATGACAAATATATCTTTCCAATAAACCCTGCCACCTTTCGATATATCAGTGAAACTTTGATATAGGTTGTATTTTTTTGAATTTAACAATGAGTTAATCTTGTTTTTGCACGGTCTGATTTCTTCCTACGATCATGGGCTACCACCTTTTGGTAAATCAGAGAAATTTTGATATATTGGCTAGCTTGATGATGTCATAGGTTGTATTTTTTAAAATTGGCAATAAGTTAATCCTGTTTTTGCATGGCCAAACATCTACAATGTCCTTACAACCGATAATATCATCAATTTAGAATACATCATAGTTTTTATGTCACCACCAAAAAGTGATAACATATTGTTATGGTCTCCGTCTTTTTGACGGCGGTTGGCGATCGGCGGTTGGAGTGTGTAACAAATGGTGGTGACATTTCACATTCGCATTCATACCTCATCAGGTGTCCTATAATCCGTGAAGAATTGCTGTCCCTGTTGCGTTGACGTTTTCCTTTTAGCTTCCCTGCTGTCAATCACGCTGAATATGCAATATAAATGCATGATTTAAAGAAGAATGTAACAAACAAATGCTGTCGATTATTTTGAAATGCAAAATTTAACTGAATTTTCACACAGGCTGTCAATCACAATGAAATATACGATACGTTAATAAGATAAAATTTTCAGTACTGTCACACTAGAATAAATTAAATATATACAGGGTGTCAAATAAGTCCCGTCCCCCCTCTACAGCCAAAACCAAGATATATGGTACCAAGTGTGATATATCATTGGAAAGGTCTTCCAAAGTTACGTTGATTAGCATATATCTGACAAATGTCAATCAATCTCACAAAGTTTTACAGTGTATCAATTGAGGTGACCATAGGCCTAGAAACATGGCAATTTGGCGTATTTGGCAGGGTTTTTAGAATCGGGAATAAGAAAAGTCAAAGGACCTAAAGATGACTACATATGTATATGGCAATGAATTTAACCAATTTCTGGATAGGGGAAGATGTGTAGAAAATAGAGGAGCAAGGTAAGTGGTGAAAACATTTTTGTAAGAAGGGGAATGCGAAAAATATTATATTTCCGTGGTCAAATCCTTCTCATTTTGAAGCAAAAAACTGCTTAAAGGAGAGTATGCTAACTATAAAAGACATCATGAAAATATAGGTGAAGTTCATCCAAAATATTTGAGAGTTTAATAGTGAGTTAACATAACTTTGTATGATCTTTCCAATGGTATATCACACTAGGTGCCATCTATTAAGGTTCTAGCTGTAGCAGGGGGACGGGACTTATTTGACACCCTGTACATAATTATGTTTACAATAAATATATACAAACAGTATAGTAACAATTGCATTGTAGTAAGTTTGTTCTGTTCTGTTGTTCATTTCCTGACTGAAATATATTTTCCTTCGCAATTAGTTCCCGTTGGTCTCGTAACACTGGTCAATATTAAGTGAAGGAAACGGCCGTAACATTCGCATCTAAGATGGCGGACGGTATTTTGATATCTTCAGTTTCCATTGAAGAGTTGACGTTATGCTTTGATATTTGAATATACAGGGTGGTCCAAAAAAAATTGGAACATTTGTTAATTGAATGCAAAACCTTTATTTTTCTTCTAAAATGCACAAAACTTTTACTGAGCATAGTTCAGTCACTTATTTATCTGATGTAAAGTTTATAGGTGAAAACCACAAAGTTAATGCATTAAACTAGTCAATGTTTGATATGACCCCTCTTCTCCTGACTTACAAGTTGAAGCCTGTGGCTCAGATTTGTAAATATTCAATTAGTTTGCTGTTCGTTTGTTTTGTCCAAGCCATCTTAATTAAAAATTTCAGCTTGATCAAACTTCCTATTTGTTTGCCTTGGAAGATCAAATCTAGTAGCATATTCAAAAATTTTTACCCAAATTCATGGGATCAAGCATATTTTAATGGCTATTGTTGGGTGTATTACTGATTGAATATTCTCCAGAAAGAGGCCAGGGCAGTCTGATTTGACTGGTAAATGAAGCCCCTTCCCCTTTATTGTTCTGATATGAATAATATTCATTGGGAATATCAATATGTCTATCAATATCATGGAGGAGTCTCCCGTATTTGTGCTTAGCATTGGTTTTTAATAAAACTTTGTGAATAACTGGTCAGTTTTGCCTTTACTGAAAAGTGGGAACAATTCTTCTGTCACTTGAGCAGCTGTGAGGGTTATGCAATCGCTCACCTCTGACATGTTCCTTCTTCCCTACTCTTAAATGAAAATGATCATTTTGGGTATTGTTTAAGTTAACACAATATTTTTCTGGCAAACCCCAGATGTAAATACCCTTTGTCAACTGAATATGATTTTATAAAATATTTATACCAATTAACATGTGCATTAAAGCTTTGAAATAAATAATACTTGAAAAAGTAGCCGCGGAATTGACAAGTGTATATTTAAGAAAAGGGGGTCCTATCAAAGATTGACTAGTTTAATGCGTTAACTTTGTGGTTTTCACCTATAAACTTTACATCAGATAAATAAGTGATTGAACCATGCTCAGTAAAAGTTTGGTACATTTTAGAAGAAAAATAAAGCTTTTGCGTTCAATTAACAAATGTTCCAATTTTTTTTGGACCACCCTGTATGATCATACACTCCCCTCCGTAAGTTTGGCAACCTTTTTCCCCCATTGAACTACGTGTTAAAGCCTCTTTACCTTTGAATTTTTATTTACTTAACCTGCGATGAAAATACTTATACTATTGATGGAAACATAATTTGACTTTAATTCCAATACCTCCAAATTTTCTTAATTTTTTTCCTCAATTACAATAGGTCGAAAATTGATGATAAATTTGATGAATTTTTGAAAATCGACATTCCCATGTTAACCAATGGGAAATGGTAGGTTTGCCGCAAGTCATATGACAGAATATCCATCCATCCGAGTCCTTGCAAAAAATACGAGTTAGGCAGGCAATTGAATTTGCTAACTTTATTTAACAAAAAATTGATATGTTTCTTCAGATTCAACAAAGTTATAGGGCTTTAAAGTCAAAATTGTTTTTCAAAAAACCTCTCCCATTGAAATAACACAGGAGGCGAAAAATTATTTTCAAAAATGACTTTGAAGCGCTGTAACTTTAATATTCATCAAATAAACTAAACACTTAGTGTTCAAAGAAGTTAGACAATTCAATTTTCTATATAAAAATATTTTTTGCTGAATCTTTTACTGAAAAGATATCCTGATTTTTGATTTGCCCCGAACCCTCCATTTCCCATTGGATTACATGAGAATGACGATTTTCAAAAATTCATCAAATTTATCATCAATTTTCGACCTATTGTAATTGAGGGAAAAAATTGAGAAAATTTGGAGGTATTGGAAATAAAGTCAAGTTACGTTTCCATTAATATTATAAGTTATTTCATCGCCGGTTAAGTAAATGAAAATTCAAACGTAAAGAGGCTTTAACACATAGTTCAATGGGGAAAAAAGGTTGCCAAACTTATGGAGGGGAGTGTATATGATCATTTCTTCATATACTGTGCGTGGGCGCCACAGTTCGACGATATCTGTCACTGTTTAACAGTTAATTTCCATTAAGCGGTGGAATATCTCGATGAACTGCGGCGCCCAAACATGGTATATGAGGAAATGGTCATACTCCAGAGTTTCCGCGACATATAAGCCTGATCTAGATCACATATCCTGATCAAAGCATTACGTCAACTATAAAGCATATAATTCGATAAAAACATTTTCGGCAATCTTCGTGATATAAACATTTTCGGCAATCTTCGTGATGTAAACATTTTCGGCCATCTCGGATGAAGTGCACAGGTGCTCTCCATTGGTAGTAAGATCGAGCATGCGCAAATGAACTCATGAATGGATTTACCTCTGGATATCTTTGGATACCACATCATATTTTATTCCACTTTCAATGAATCGAGTCAGAACGTATTTTAAACCACGTGGGGCGATTAGGATGAGGACGTCATTGTGAAGCTTTGATGGCTCGGTCCAGAAATCTACCTTAAAGTAAAAATCAACAAGATTAACTTTTAGAGGCATTTTTTGTCGTTTTATTAATCATATTTCAAATACCAGAGCGGTAATTAACCTACAATCCAACTGCTTTTTACCGTTTTAGTATCTTGAAGTGAGTTTAAACCAATTTTTAACGCAATTTTGAGTAACTCCCGCTAGTCTGTGTGCGTTTTTTGAGGAAGGCCCCGGGTCAATATTTTAATGTCCGTCAAAAACCTAATTTGTTACGATAGGGGGAGGGGTACAACCCTATTCAATTAGGTGACGGACATTGATTTTTAGTTTCCCTAGGTTCCACCTTAACACAGATACCCCCAGTCTGTGTGCATTTTTGAGTAACTTACCCCCAGTCCGTGTGCATTTTTAAGTAACTTACCCCCACTACATATGCATTTTGAGTAACTTACCCCCAGACTGTGTGCATTATTTCCGAGTAACTTTTGAGTAATTTACACCTAATCTCAATGAAAATCTGTGTAAATTGTTGAATAATTTACCGCTAGTTTGGTGTGTATGATTGAGAAACTTACCCCCAGTCTACGTGCACCGTTGTGTATATGGCGAAGAACGTTATGTTGGTCAGCTGTCTCGGATGTGACCTTTAACAAATTGTATCTGCAAGACAAACATCTCCATATAATGAAAGGATGAACACTATTTTGAAAGTGATATCCACTGTGACAGTTCGAAAGTCCATACATCCAGACATGGAAATTTGGTCAATGGGAAACCATACGATGCTTTAACCGTAAACGAGGACTCGGTTGTCTTTTGAAACCCAGTCCATACGCCATTCATTTCCACATAAAAGGTAAAAAACTGTTCCAATAATCATACATACCCGTCATATCGTGTTCTCTTAGCCGCACAGCAACACGTCACCAACAAAACAAGAAGAGCAAACCGGCCCACCATTTTGTTATGTGAATATACCATCTGCTACAGCTAACCTCCTATTGCAGTTTTATTAACACATCACATACTTTTGATAAATTAATACAGCTTTTGATAAAACTAACGTATAAGTTCTCTGATTTGCAAGTATATCCTCAAAGTAATCATTTTTTCCTCTCAGGTCAATTTTAAAAGCCATCTAGATCTAAACAAATCGGTTTGATTACATGGTAACTTTAATTGTGACATCACAAAATATTTTGCTTTACAGATGATGCGGTGGTTACGAAGTCATAATACGTTTTCAGTTTTCTACGTACGATGACTAAATACACAATTTTTATGATCTGATGATTACAGCAGTGAATGTCATGGCAACATTATTCAAAATAAATAGAAAACAATAAACAAAGATCACTTGTAGAAGGCATCTGCATTCGCAATACCAAAGTCCTCCTTTCTTAAATCCATATCGAAGGGGTGACCTTTCATTTAAAGATCAAAATCTCTTCTATTAAACATATCTTAGGCAAAACATTTTGAATGGCCCCTGATACAAATGTATTGCTTCAAGTTGTTAAACCAATCGATTAAGTGGTTGAAATTAGTCAAACTGGATCCATTTTTAATGAGACCCTGTAATGGGTTTGTGTAAAAAAACCGGGTGACCGGGTAACCGGGTACCCGGTCGACCGGGTACCTAACGTTCCTAGCAGGGTTACCAACTTTCAAAGTTCCACATTTCCCCCGATATATAGTAGCGAATTGACTTGACAGACTTAGCCTACCGAGTGCACTGCTGTTCGATATTTTTATGTCACCACCAAAAGTGGTGACATATTGTTATGGTCTCCGTTTTTTTGCGACGGCGGTTGGCGTCCGGCGGTTGGCGTCCGGCGGTTGGCGTCTGTAACAATTTCTTACAACTTCCTATAACTTAACAAATACTGTTTAGACTGACTTCAATTTTTTTCTAAATCATCTACATGTTCTCAGAAGTTCAAATCTGATTTTAGATTTGACATTTGACCTTCAATGACCTTCTCAAGGTCAAAAAGGTCTTTTTTCAACTTGCTTCACATTGACTAAATTTTTTTCAAAATCATTTACATGTTCTCAGAAATTCAAATCTGACTTTAGATTTGACATTTGACCTTCAAATCTGACTTAAGATTTGACATTTGACCTCCAATGACAATTTCAAGGTCAAAAAAGGTCAAAAAGGTCTGTTTTCAACTTGCTTCAAATTGACTAAAATTTTTTTCAAAATCATCTACATGTTCTCAGAAATTCAAATCTGACTTAAGATTTGACTTAAGATTTGACATTGAGAGTGGTGACATATTGTTATGGTCTCCGTTTTTTTGCGACGGCGGTTGGCGTCCGGCGGTTGGCGTCCGGCGGTTGGCGTCCGGCGGTTGGCGTCTGTAACAATTTCTTACAACTTCCTATAACTTAACAAATACTGTTTAGACTGACTTCAATTTTTTTCTAAATCATCTACATGTTCTCAGAAGTTCAAATCTGATTTTAGATTTGACATTTGACCTTCAATGACCTTCTCAAGGTCAAAAAGGTCTTTTTTCAACTTGCTTCACATTGACTAAATTTTTTTCAAAATCATTTACATGTTCTCAGAAATTCAAATCCGACTTTAGATTTGACATTTGACCTTCAAATCTGACTTAAGATTTGACATTTGACCTCCAATGACAATTTCAAGGTCAAAAAAGGTCAAAAAGGTCTGTTTTCAACTTGCTTCAAATTGACTAAAATTTTTTTCAAAATCATCTACATGTTCTCAGAAATTGAAATCTGACTTAAGATTTGACTTAAGATTTGACATTTGACCTTCAATGACCTTCTCAAGGTCAAAAAAGGTCAAAAAGGTCTGTTTTCAACTTGCTTCAAATTGACTTAAAATTTTTTTCAAAATCATCTACGTGTTCTCAGAAATTCAAATCTGACTTTAGATTTGACTTAAGATTTGACATTTGACCTTCAATGACCTTCTCAAAGTCAAAAAAGGTCAAAAAGGTCTTTTTTCAACTTGCTTCAAATTGACTAAATTTTTTTTTCAAAATCATCTACATGTTCTCAGAAATTCAAATATGACTTTAGATTTGACATTTGACCTTCAATGACCTTCTCAAGGTCAAAAAAGGTCAAAAAGGTCTTTTTTCAACTTGCTTCGAATTGACTAAATTTTTTTTTTCAAAATCATCTACATGTTCTCAGAAATTCAGATCTGACTTTAGATTTGACATTTGACCTTTAATGACCTTCTCAAGGTCAAAAAAGGTCAAAAAGGTCTGTTTTCAACTTGCTTCAAATTGACTAAAAAAAATTTTCAAAATCATCTACGTGTTCTCAGAAATTCAAATCTGACTTTAGATTTGACTTAAGATTTGACATTTGACCTTCAATGACCTTCTCAAAGTCAAAAAAGGTCAAAAAGGTCTTTTTTCAACTTGCTTCAAATTGACTAAATTTTTTTTTCAAAATCATCTACATGTTCTCAGAAATTCAAATCTGACTTTAGATTTGACATTTGACCTTCAATGACCTTCTCAATGTCAAAAAAGGTCAAAAAGGTATTTTTTATCTTGCTTCAAATTGACTAAATTTTTTTTCAAAATCATCTACGTGTTCTCAGAAATTCAAATCTGACTTTAGATTTGACTTTTGATTTGACATTTGGCCTTCAATGACCTTCTCAAGGTCAAAAAAGGTCAAAAAGGTCTTTTTTCAACTTGCTTCAAATTGACTAATTTTTTTTTTCAAAATCATCTACATGTTCTCAGAAATTCAAATCTGACTTTAGATTTGACATTTGACCTTTAATGACCTTCTCAAGGTCAAAAAAGGTCAAAAAGGTCTGTTTTCAACTTGCTTCAAATTGACCAAATTTTTTTTCAAAATCATCTACATCTTTTCAGAAGTTCAAATTTGACTTTACAAGTTCTCAGAAATTCAAATCTGACTTAAGTTTGAGCTCATAATATTATGAGCAACTAGGTGGTGACATTTTGTCATGTTAATGCCTTGTTACCCTATACGAGACAGAGCACTTTTTAAAATAATCGATCCAGCAAAGAGTGACGTCCATGTCACGTTGCTCATAAGTAGCATATAAGTTCCTATCGAAGACGTTGCACATTTTCGTTCTTTACACATCGAGGCAACGTAAACATGAGACATCTATTGATGGTATAAAAAGAACGTTGTTGTAACGTGTCCGTAAAGTTCGTTAGTGTGGAAAACATAACAAACAGAAACGTTTGATTTTTTACTACATTCGTCCATATTTGACGTAACTCAAACGTTAAAATTCAAGGTTGTCAAAACAGGCTTTTAATATCAATCACCAAGTCGGTACATTTCCGACGTATTGTTAACGTTAAAATTTAACGTTGTCGAAACGTTTTTTCGATTTGAAATAACCTCAAAACGTGACGTCGATAATGACGTTCATGGAGCGTATTAATCTGACGTTATTCAAATATTCAGCAAAACGTCGATGGATGGTCGAATTTCAACATTGTGGAAATGGCTTCAAAATATTTTTGAGTTAAGGAATCGTTACAAAGACGTCAATATGTTCTCACTAAATCGGTTCATTACCGACGTTATTTTAACGTTAAAAGTTAACGTTGCCAAAACGTTCTTACGATGTGAAATAACCTCAAAGCGTGACGTCGAAAATAACGTACATGTATCGTCCAGATCCAACGTTATAAATAAAAAAAATCCTAATCCTGCTAGGAACGTTAAGTATCCGGTCACCCGGTTACCCGGTCACCCGGTTACCCAGTCACCCGGTTTTTTACACAAACCCCCCTGTAATCACCTTGTTGAGAGCTTTATGTGGGACTTCATCACTAAATGGCAAAATATAAAAAACATAGTGACACATGTCCATTATGTCATGGGTCAGATGCAGATACTGGAACACATATCAATTCACTGCCAAGCTGTTGAACACTTATGCCAGCAGTTAAACCCAGGAGGAATGGCTCACAGGGTCGAAACCCGATATTTTCCAACAATGAATACTTCGAAATGTCGTTATTTTCTGAAATTATTACCGACTATAAATTCAAAATAAACAATCCAAAAGATTCGAACCAATATCTCGATCATTTCTTGTGAGTTTTGGTATTTTTCATTTGACAATAAGACCAAAATTCACGATTCAAATGTTGAAGTGAACAAAAAAGCGGCTGTCTGAATTCGAATTTTGTATCACGACATGCCCATATATGGGACAGAATATCGATGTTGCACTTTGGGAGCCAATCCTCCTCGCAGTTAAACAGTATCATGAAAGTATAGTGGAGTATCTAATGAAGTGATATGCTTGGTAGAGACTTCAATTTGAAAAGACAATTAAATGACGAGTCCACTTCTATTTGGTTCTAAAAATAACCAGGTACAAACGTATATAAAACTAAAATAAAGACAACAGTAGAAACGTATATTACCAAACAGATATTACAGTAAATTACATTTATTGGAACATGTTACAGACAGTTAAGTCTCAAATATATCTTTATTTTTAGAAATCAAGTATTATACATAAGATCATTTAGGCATCATCTATTCCCTATTTAGTACAGGGTGTCCCAAGATCTGTACCAAGATAAAACACTATCTCTATCAGGTAATTCCCATTTCTATAAAAAACTGTTTTAGTCTACCATCACTAATTTTCAGATGTTTGAGGTTGCATGCATTCATATTTGCATTCATTTTGAGGAGTTAACTGTTTATAAATCCATTTATCTTTCTTATGTAAAAAGTTCTTCATTTTCAACGAAGTAAAAAGACAATCATTCCCGTCTCGAATTATTTTGCAGCGTTTTCTAATGTTTTCTTACTAAGACCCATTAAGACCATACCGCCATCACATACCACACAGGCCCCGTTCATCATGGATGCATCTTCAGAAGCTAGAAATGCTATCAGTTTTGCCGCGTCATCCACATTTCCAATTTTACCCAGTGGGGTACATTTTGCTGCCGTTAAATACAATTCTTCCTCTTCCGATTGCGATACCCCCTGATTCTTTAAAATTCTCGTTCCTTTAAAATACCCTGGACAAACGGCATTAACACGGACAGATTGATTACCAAATTCCAATGCAGCACATTGTGTGAACATATTCAATCCGGCTTTAGTGATGCAAGAAAATGGACAACCATCTGATGCGAGTACGCCGGCGCAGCTGGACGTATTCACAATGTTTCCCTTGCTTTGTTTCAGTTCAGGCAAGCACATTTGCGACAAAAGAATTGGCGCTCGCAACATGACTTTAACAGCGTCATCGAACAATCCAATAGATCCCGAGCCAAGATTGGGGTTCTTATCAAAATATCCTGCATTATTTACTAGAATATCTATCTTGCCGAATGTTTCAACGGCTGTGTCACGAATCTTCTTCAGTACATCATCATCTCCGATGTCTCCTTGGATATACGGAAACTTAGCATTTTCGACAGCCACCTTTTCACATTCAGCCACAGTTTCTTTGATAGTACTAAGACTGCGCCCATGTATTAGAACACTTGCGCCCTCTTTGGCCAGTAGCAATGCAGTCCCTTTTCCAATTCCACTATTCGACCCTGTCACAATAGCAGCCTTTCCTGAAAATCTCATGGTACTCATTCTCTGTGGCTCTGCATGTATGTATTTGCAATTCCAAATGCTGAATATATTCACCAACTGTCTAAAATAATGTTACGTATTATTTTAGATAGTACTAAATCAAATCTAGTTCAATTTGACCCAACTTAAGTGTATACATAAAAAACATGTTTCAATTATCTAATCTTGTAATCTAATAGTGTAAAACTAGTCATATCTATGCCGAATATTTGGTACAGATCTGTAATTGGACCACTACTTATATGGGGCATTTTGAGAATCAATCGTGTCATTCGGAGTTCAATGTTTTCTTAACTTGTCAGCATGCATATAGGATTGGGAACTCAAAACCACCGCTGTACAGAGCATTTCTTATACCCCGCCCCTGATAAAATCTACAGGGGATACTGTAAGACACCTTTATATCTCAGACACAAATAAAGGCATTGACTTGAATTTTTCAGTAAGTTGTTTTACTGTGATGTTTGATTTGTATGGCAAGAATCGAGAAAAAAATCTTAATCCATTGCTATAGCAACAGTAATAGAGCACTATGTGTATATACCTTAAAAGTGCATTATTTTGTGGGGTGACATTATTTTATTTATAATGACTGAAGACATTCACTCTGAAACTGCTCTAATGGATTTGACATTTACATTAAAATTATTATCAAACTTTAGACAATGATAATCATAAATATGCTTAATTAACGCCTCGGGTCTTACGATATGTGTAAAACTTCAAATGTTACGTTTTTCAACCCCTTGTGAAGAGAGACATATTTGACCAAAAAGCCCGAAATTGTTTCAGCAAACGGTAATTGAAAGAATCAAGACACATGCACCTCTTTAAATATTGGTTCAAATGTTGCTGCTCTATATTTTAATCAGATTCTTCATATCCCAGAGTCAAACCATGGACTAGTCTGTGCAAGCACACTTCTCTGTGGTCCTAAACGTGGTCAGGTATACTAAGTTTAAACTAATATGGAACTGGACTAAAGAAATATTTGACATAAAAAGCATATATTAAAGGTGCAACAATTAGTGCAGGGGGCCATTCAACGATCATCGACCAGTGTCAAAATATATTTAAGTTTGGATATTTCATCAAGACTAACATATATTTTTATCATCTACAAAGAAACCACCTGGATGAACATTATTTTAGTTGATATTCCTCTTGAAACGTGGTGAATCTTAAAAATCTATAAGTTGGACTCCCTTTATAGAAGCTTTGTACTGAGTTTACACTTCTTAATGCTGAAATTGAGAGTTTATCCATACATTTTAAGAAAATTGGTATGTCAAAGAAGATGTTAAGCCAAATGTTGACCTGATAGCTCAGAAAAAATCAAAAAATCGAATTTTCTCTCTACAGTCCTTGTCGCACCTTTAGAGTCAATCATATTTAGTGGAACATTTTACAATCAGTTTAGTCTAAAATATTGCTGCAAACTAAGGTCAAATATTATAGATAATTTTTAAGTCATCACCTGTTCACTTCTTACTACAGGGTGTCCAATATTTATACCGAGATAAAACATATGAACTCGTTACCTGATGAAAGAACATTCTTTAAATTCAGCCATCATTCAGACAAGTTAATTAACATAACCATATGAAAAATTGAACGTGTAACTTTTTGCTTTTTGAGTAGACTTTGTTTTGGTACCATAACCCATATTTCATTGTCGCACAAGGCAACTTGAAAACAGCAACTCCACAGAGTAGCAAATCACACTGAACAAAACATGTTTTGATGAATAGCAGCCATCTTGAACAGGTATCAGTATGTAACAGTACAAAATTTGAACACATCCGTTCAGTGGTATTTGAGTTATCAAAGAGCATGTTTTTACGAAAAATGGTGATTATTTTGAAATTCAGCTGTCATCTAGAACTATTTTTCTTGTGCAGATAGCTACTTTGTCCATAGGCACCAGTATTGAACCAAATCCGTCAACTGGTACATGTTTTTGGGTTATCAAAGATTACAATTTTAACGACAAATGGCGTCAATTTTGATAATACTGTAGTGGCTGTGAGTTATAACACATAGTCTAATTCTTATCTTTCTCTTAGCCACAGATTAATATAAACAACATTATTATTGGAGACAAGGAACAAGTATCTCGTTTATAAACAAACTTGCCTTTCCTTATGATATGAACAACTATGCCAGAATGCGACGTTTGTATGTCAATTGAGGCACATTTATGCCAAATCATAATTGAGCGTATTCCAAACTCTCTTTTCCTAAGGAATACCAAAATACAGCATTCGCTATACTGAGCTAGAAATATTGTAAACATACAATCAACTCTGTGAAATCATAACAATCACAGAGTTGATTATGTAATACATGTACTGTCTATTTGTATAAACAATTATACCGATGAGGAATCTTCGGTCTCAGGAAAGAAAGCTGGATGATTTTGCCACACCAAACTTGGCACCAGTTTTCTATTCTCTGAGACCTATGAGTATTTAGATAAGATCACGCATAATATGACATATCTATTTAATATACATTATTACATACATTTGACGATGTTTTAATCTTAAAGATGTCGTGCTGAAATAATCAGTCAGTATGACTTTACTTCTTATTTATATTTAGTCACAAACAAGATAGTGTCTCGTAAGTAGACACGTGTTATTTGATAAATCAATTTATCATTATTATTATCATCAATACCATCATCATCATCATAATCATCATCATCTTTGTTATATAATATACATAATAGACCATTACATATAAAGTAATAATATAAATTGATGGTATAAAGTTATAATAGGTAATACTAAATATAATGTACACATGATCTATATAGTTACTATAAATCTAAAATGTATTTACAAGAGCTTTTCTCCTTCAGTTCAAAATATCCTAACGGTACTTCTTATAATGGCAAAAAAATGTTAAACGTCACATGTCAAAATAATCCAGGCTCATGGATTTTGCTAACAAAACATCTATGACAAAATATCTAGCGTATTTAGTGTTCCAAGTCATAACAAATAACATAACAAACTCAGTGAAGAATAAGAAACCTAACAATATTATGAAAATATTTTCACAATGTCAATATTTTGAAACACAATCCAAATATAATAAACATTGCAGCAAAAATATAACCACTAAATAACAAACCATAGAATTTTTTTTTACTCATATCTCTCAACTCCCTAAAAATGATTCATAAGATGTAAAGCTAACAATTTGTAATTTGCAAAATTTGTACCGCATGTAGCACAAAGGCATATATTGTCTACACGATGGGACATATGTAATAAATGTAAATCCTCATCAAGAAATGAGATTTGACAATAGATGCATTCGTATACATGCGTGGAATGGAAGGAATGACACTGTGAAGCTGTGAAACAAGTAAATGTATTGTCAGCAATCACTGAGACTGAGCAGAGTGACAGGGCCACTAGATCAAAATACTCAATGACTGTTGTTTCCCAAATATCGAAAGATAGATTATTGGCAATATGTAATTCAGCCTCCACACCAACTATGAAAGAAGATGAAGGCTGTATTACAGACTCCAAAAAAATCTTCCCACTCCATGGGCAAATCTGCCTCATGGATGGCTCTTTGGAGTAAATCTTGTTCTTCTTCATCTTGTTGCACAACTTCCTCAGCATCCAATAACATATCTTCAAAATTAAAATTATTCTCAAAATCTAGATTTTCTGGAGGTGTTATATCTTCATAATGGTTGGTTATTATAGGTATGATAACAGGTATGTTAGAACAACGATCATCTGGGTTTAGCATGTTCATGAAATTTTCACCCATACTGTATTAAATGTGATGATTTATGATATAAAAATGAACTGCAAAGGCTTCTTCAGTGATGAAATTAAATCCCCATAGTGTGCATTTCTTGTGGTTATTGATGCTATGAGTCTCCATGTGCATGGTATGATGAATATTATTATGAAATGCGATGTCACAAAATAGGCACTTTAAGATACTAGAAGCGTTTGAAGATGTTGATGTGTCATTGGTTGTTGTTACTTCAGATGAATATGTTGACGATTCAGAGTTATTTGAAGAAATTGATGCTTGATCGATTGTTATGACATCAGATGGAATGTTAGATGAGTTGCTTGGAGTACTTGCACATAACCAATTCTTTACTGTCGAACCCTGGGGCAGTTCTTCGTGAATATCCGCTAAATGGTCAAAATATTCTAAAAAATCGATATCAACTTCCGAAATGCCATCTTCTTGAAGACAAATATGACAAGTCCATTCCATCTGCAATGTACAATATAATTGTTGTAATAATTGTTAATATTTATAACAATATTTTCAAAAATAGGTCAAAAATTGCGAAAAAATGAGTGTCTATAAAGTGGTTTCTGCCATCTCAATCATAGGATTATCTGATAACTGAGTTTGTTTTGTTTTTGCACACCTAGCTATTACCTTTCCGAATTTTAAAATGATGGAACGCTGCCTTTTATAAAGTACAAATAGAGCAACCGATATGATTAACAGTACCACAAGGATAATAAATTGTACCTAATCAATCCAAGTTGAGTTCAATGAATTTAAATCATTCGAAAAGAAAGGTTCTTGAATCCATGAATTACTCTCTTTGAGATTTTTAATTACATCTAACAACCTATGTCTGAATTGATCGTCTCCTGTTTCAGGATCAGTAAAATTTGGCACATCGGGCAACCTCATAGGTGCAAGATCATGTAAATCTTCAACTCTGAGATATGGTGCAATTTTGTCATCCGAAAAATGAAAATGAAAAGGTAAATTTGTTTGAATTTGTGGTACTATTATAGCGACCTTTTCACAGGTAGATATGTCAGCAAATAATTGTTGATTTGATTTATATCTCAGACACAAATAAAGGCATTGACTTGAATTTTTCAGTAAGTTGTTTTACTGTGATGTTTGATTTGTATGGCAAGAATCGAGAAAAAATCTTAATCCATTGCTATAGCAACAGTAATAGAACACTATGTGTTACCTTAAAAGTGCATTATTTTGTGGGGTGACATTATTTTATTTATAATGACTGAAGACATTCACTCTGAAACCTCTCTAATGGGTTCGACATTTACATTAAAATTATTATCAAACTTTAGACAATGATAATCATAAATATGCTTAATTAACGCCTCGGGTCTTACGATATGTGTAAAACTTCAAATGTTACGTTTTTCAACCCCTTGTGAAGAGAGACATATTTGACCAAAAAGCCCGAAATTGTTTCAGCAAACGGTAATTGAAAGAATCAAGACACATGCACCTCTTCAAATATTGGTTCAAATGTTGCTGCTCTATATTTTAATCAGATTCTTCATATCCCGGAGTCAAACCATGGACTAGTCTGTGCAAGCACACTTCTCTGTGGTCCTAAACGTGGTCAGGTATACTAAGTTTAAACTAATATGGAACTGGACTAAAGAAATATTAGACATAAAAATGTTTTTGGGTTATCAAAGATTACAATTTTAACGACAAATGGCGTCCATTTTGATAATACTGTAGTGGCCATCTTGATTTTTTTCTAGAGCATAGGCATAATACAACTCACGTGACATTTGTTTTGTTCATCGAAAAAGTAGAACTTAAAACACTCCTTTATTTATAGGCATACAGCTCGGAATCATTTTGCCGCATTATCTAATGTTTTCTAACATTACGGTGTCTGACTTTACCGTTGTCAGGGTATTCCGGTGTAATTGGCATTTGTTGGTAATTTGTTGAATATGAATGCTAAAGACTAAAACAAGTTGAACTTGTTGAACAAGTTGTAATTGCTGACTATTCAATTTCACGCTACATTGATTTTAATGGGACTATGCGATACCTGCTATATTTGAAAGTGTATAACTTCAGTTCTAGAAATGCGTTTCAATGAATTTAGTTTTATTTGAAATATGGTAGATTATTCGTTAAGTAGCGATGTGAAAACAAATTAACAATTTATCACAGAATGTCAAAAATTTACACCCCCTAGATCACATTGACATCGATTTGATCTTTGTTGACCTACTTTTAAAAAACGTGAAAATTCTTTTCTGAAGAGGTAATTATATAAAATTGAATAAGGTTTACAACAATACCAACAATATTGAAATGAGACAAGTAATGAAAAATCGCAGAGGGTTAAACGTTTTTAACGTTAATACGCCCCTGAGTATTCCTTAGTAGTATGTCACATTACAAAATCTTTATGACCTGATGATTACAGCAGTTAATTTCCATGGCAACAATATTCAAAATAAATAGAAAAAAATATAAGCAACGATCACTTGTAGAAGCTATTTGCAGTACTAAAGCCACCCTTTCTTAAATTCATATCGAATGGATGACCTTTCATTTAAATATCAAAATACCTTCTCTTAAACATATCTTAGGCAAAACATTTTGAATGACCCCTGATACAAATATACATGCTATCAAGTTGTTAAACCAATCGATTAAGTGGTGGAAATTAGTAAAACAGGATCCATTTTTAATAAAACCCTGTACATGTATCACCTTGTTGAGAGCTTGAGGTGGAACTTCATCACTAAATGGCAAAATATATAAACATAGTGACACATGTCTATTATGTCATGGGTCAGTGTAGATATTGGAACACATATTATTTCACTGCCAAGCAGTTGAACACTTATGTCAGCAGTTAAAACCAGGAGGATTGGCTCCCAGGATCGAAACCGATATATTCTAACACTGAAAACGTCGAAATGTCGTTATTTTCTACGATAAAAACCGACCATAAATTCAAAATAAACAGTTCAAAAGATTCGAACCAATATCTCGATCATTTCTTATGAGTTTTAGAATTTTTCGTTAGGAAATAAGACCAAAATTCACGATTCAAATGTTGAAGTGAACAAAATGGCGGCTGTTTGAATTCGAATTTTGTATCACGACATGCCCATATAAGGGACAGAATATCGCTGTTGCACTCTGGGAGCCAATCCTCCTTGCCGTTAAACAGTATCATGAAAGTGGATTGTACTTTGAGCATTATTTATGAAGTGACATGCCTGGTAGAGCCTTCAATTTGACACTGCACTGTTTTAATAGTGTGTACGTGTGCAACTAATAATTCAGCAAGTTTAATTGAAAAGTGCATAGAAATGACAAGCTATGTGGTTCTAATAATAGAGAGGTTAAGCTACACGTATAAATGTAAACCGTGAACCTGAACGCGTAAGTCCACGCTCAAGTACACGTTTAAGAAAATTTTCTGTTAAAGCTACACGTCTGAAACCATGTCAGTGGACGTGGAGCTATATTCATGTGGTGCCTGTGACTGAGGGTCATGTTTCAATGGTGTAATGGATAGCTCCTCGGACTAGTGTCCGTTAGGCCTGGGTTCGAATCTAGTCGCATCAAAACATTTTGTTTTTTATTTTTGCTTTATTTCATATTCAACCACAATTAAATGATCTAGTGCGCCCTCCATTATAATCTCCCCATGAACAAAATAAATTCATCTGATTTTTCAAAATGAATATTCTGCTTTTATTGTTGATATGTACACTAGTATTTTGTTGACCTATATTCAGCACTGTATTGATGAATGGGCCACTTATTAGGGCCAATATTCAACCATAAAGTGTACAGGGGTAGAGATGCCACACTAGGAAGTCTTTGTGTGTCCGTCAAAATCCATTTGCATCCTACACATCCCTACATCTTATCCAAATATGTTATTAATTAATGAAACATAACAGTATAATCTTTGGATTTACAAAGTTGTATGGGATTTCATAAGTGTAAAAGTTGCTTTTGAAGCATTTTTCTTTAGCCATTTTGTAGAAAAAATGATGAAAAAATGTACAATCTTTTAATTTTAAGTATGACCTGAATCGATTGATCGATACTTTATATTTGCACATCTGATGTGATATACCATTTGTGTCAAATTAATTGTGACATTATTTAATTTGCAATCAATTCAGGCCATTCAGTCATTCAGATTCAGGCAAATCAAATGTAGTGATAAGGCAATCGTAGGCCCTGGTTGTAATTTCATTTCGTTTAGTATACATATTGTACCAAGCCCCGGGATTCAAATTAGCCCTGCCTATTTATATTGTACGGAATGAACAAACGATCACATTTGAAGTTGTCATTTAATCTCTAAAATGTATTCTTTATTTCCAATAAAGGATTTGGGGTTTACCGATATAACAAGCAATAGTGTTTGTATCAAATATGGGCCCCCGGGCCATCCTAAAACATAGCTAAAATCAATCACGTAATGAGCGACGTGTAATCACTCATCTACACGTAAAAACCTGTAACTTTCACGCTTACCTGTAGAAAGTAGACTAATCTGACGTCATTTTCCTGCGCGCGCATAGAAGTACACGTTCATGTTTTGTTGAATACGCGTCTGTAAATTGCACGAATATGATAATCTCATGTAAAAACCTGTAATTCACGCTGGCCCACAGGAAATAAACAAATCTGACGTCATTTATCTGCGTGCGCATTGAAGTTCACGTTTAAGTTTTGTCAAATACGTGTAGCTTAACCTCTCTAGTAGCCAGGTTCAAACGTATATCAAACTAAACTAAAGAAAACAGTAGCGATATTGCAGTAAATTACATTTAGCCAGAACATTTTACAGCCTTAAAGTCTCAAATATATCTTCATTTTTAGAACTTACTTAGGTCTAGTATTATACATATAAGATCATTCTAAGGCTTCACCTATTTAGTACAGGGTGTCCCAAGATCTGTACGGAGATTAAACACTATCTCTATCAGGTAATTTTCCATCTCTATAGAAAAACTGTTTTAATATCATCAGTTATCACTCATTTTTCAATGTTTGAGGAGTTAATTGTTTATCAAAAACCATTTATCTTTATCATGTAAAAAGTTCTTCATTTTCAATGAAGTTAAAAGTCATCCCCGTCTCATTTGGCTATAGTTTTTGGAACATTCTTGGAAAGAAATGGGAGATTTTGACACAGCATTCTGAAATTATTTCTCCGATTATCAAAACGTCAATAGTACAATTCGGAATTATTTTGCAGCGTTTTCTAATGTTTTCTTACTAAGGCCCATTAAGACCATACCGCCATCACATACCACACAGGCCCCGTTCATCATGGATGCATCTTCAGAAGCTAGAAATGCTATCAGTTTTGCCGCGTCATCCACATTTCCAATTTTACCCAGTGGGGTACATTTTGCTGCCGTTAAATACAATTCTTCCTCTTCCGATTGCGATACCCCCTGATTCTTTAAAATTCTCGTTCCTTTAAAATACCCTGGACAAACGGCATTAACACGGACAAATTGATTACCAAATTCCAATGCAGCACATTGTGTGAACATATTCAATCCGGCTTTAGTGATGCAAGAAAATGGACAACCATCTGATGCGAGTACGCCGGCGCAGCTGGACGTATTCACAATGTTTCCCTTGGATTGTTTCAGTTCAGGTAAGCACATTTGCGACAGAAGAATTGGCGCTCGCAACATGACTTTAACAGCGTCATCGAACAATCCAATAGATCCCGAGCCAAGATTGGGGTTCTTATCAAAATATCCTGCATTATTTACTAGAATATCTATCTTGCCGAATGTTTCAACGGCTGTGTCACGAATCTTCTTCAGTACATCATCATCTCCGATGTCCCCTTGGATATACGGAAACTTAGCATTTTCGACAGCCACCTTTTCACATTCAGCCACAGTTTCTTTGATAGTACCTAGATTGCGCCCATGTATTAGAACACTTGCGCCCTCTTTGGCCAGTAGCAATGCAGTCCCTTTTCCAATTCCACTATTCGACCCTGTCACAATAGCAGCCTTTCCTGAAAATCTCATGGTACTCATTCTCTGTGGCTCTGCATGTATGTATTTGCAATTCCAAATGCTGAATATATTCACCAACTGTCTAAAATAATTTTACGTATTATTTTAGATAGTACTGAATCAAGTCTAGTTCAATTTGACCCAACTTAAGTGTTTACATAAAAAACATGTTTCAATTATCTAATCTTGTAATCTAATAGTGTAAAACTAGTCATATCTATGCCGAAAATTTGGTACAGATCTGTAATTGGACCACTACTTATATGGGGCATTTTGAGAATCAATCGTGTCATTCGGAGTTCAATGTTTTCTTAACTTGTCAGCATGCATATAGGATTGGGACCTCAAAACCACCGCTCTACAGAGCATTTCTTATACCCCGCCCCTGATAAAATCTACAGGGGATACTGTAAGACACCTTTATATCTCAGACACAAATAAAGGCATTGACTTGAATTTTTCAGTAAGTTGTTTTACTGTGATGTTTGATTTGTATGGCAAGAATCGAGAAAAAAATCTTAATCCATTGCTATAGCAACAGTAATAGAGCACTATGTGTATATACCTTAAAAAGTGCATTATTTTGTGGGGTGACATTATTTTATTTATAATGACTGAAGACATTCACTCTGAAACTGCTCTAATGGATTTGACATTTACATTAAAATTATTATCAAACTTTAGACAATGATAATCATAAATATGCTTAATTAACGCCTCGGGTCTTACGATATGTGTAAAACTTCAAATGTTACGTTTTTCAACCCCTTGTGAAGAGAGACATATTTGACCAAAAAGCCCGAAATTGTTTCAGCAAACGGTAATTGAAAGAATCAAGACACATGCACCTCTTTAAATATTGGTTCAAATGTTGCTGCTCTATATTTTAATCAGATTCTTCATATCCCGGAGTCAAACCATGGACTAGTGTGTGCAAGCACACTTCTCTGTGGTCCTAAACGTGGTCAGGTATACTAAGTTTAAACTAATATGAAACTGGACTAAAGAAATATTTGACATAAAAAGCATATATTAAAGGTGCAACAATTAGTGCAGGGGGCCATTCAACGATCATCGACCAGTGTCAAAATATATTTAAGTTTGGATATTTCATCAAGACTAACATATATTTTTATCATCTACAAAGAAACCACCTGGATGAACATTATTTCAGTTGATATTCCTCTTGAAACGTGGTGAATCTTAAAAATCTATAAGTTGGACTCCCTTTATAGAAGCTTTGACTGAGTTTACACTTCTTAATGCTGAAATTGAGAGTTTATCCATACATTTTAAGAAAATAGGTATGTCAAAGAAGATGTTAAGCCAAATGTTGACCTGATAGCTCAGAAAAAATCAAAAAAATCGAATTTTCTCTCTACAGTCCTTGTTGCACCTTTAGAGTCAATCATATTTAGTGGAACATTTTACAATCAGTTTAGTCTAATATATTGCTGCAAACTAAGGTCAAATATTATAGATAATTTTTAAGTCATCACCTGTTCACTTCTTACTACAGGGTGTCCAATATTTATACCGAGATAAAACATATGAACTCGTTACCTGATGAAAGAACATTCTTTAAATTCAGCCATCATTCAGACAAGTTAATTAACATTGATAACCATATGAAAAATTGAACGTGTAACTTTTTGCTTTTTGAGTAGACTTTGTTTTGGTACCATAACCCATATTTCATTGTCGCACAAGGCAACTTGAAAACAGCAACTCCACAGAGTAGCAAATCACACTGAACAAAACATGTTTTGATGAATAGCAGCCATCTTGAACAGGTATCAGTATGTAACAGTACAAAATTTGAACACATCCGTTCAGTGGTATTTGAGTTATCAAAGAGCATGTTTTTACGAAAAATGGTGATTATTTTGAAATTCAGCTGTCATCTAGAAATATTTGTCTTGTGCAGATAGCTACTTTGTCCATAGGCACCAGTATTGAACCAAATCCGTCAACTGGTACATGTTTTTGGGTTATCAAAGATTACAATTTTAACGACAAATGGCGTCAATTTTGATAATACTGTAGTGGCTGTGAGTTATAACACATAGTCTAATTCTTATCTTTCTCTTAGCCACAGATTAATATAAACAACATTATTATTGGAGACAAGGAACAAGTATCTCGTTTATAAACAAACTTGCTTTTCCTTATGATATGAACAACTATGCCAGAATGCGACGTTTGTATGCCAATTGAGGCACATTTATGCCAAATCATAATTGAGCGTATTCCAAACTCTCTTTTCCTAAGGAATACCAAAATACAGCATTCGCTATACTGAGCTAGAAATATTGTAAACATACAATCAACTCTGTGAAATCATAACAATCACAGAGTTGATTGTGTAATACATGTACTGTCTATTTGTATAAACAATTATACCGATGAGGAATCTTCGGTCTCAGGAAAGGAAGCTGGATGATTTTGCCACACCAAACTTGGCACCAGTTTTCTATTCTCTGAGACCTATGAGTATTTAGATAAGATCACGCATAATATGACATATCTATTTAATATACATTATTACATACATTTGACGATGTTTTAATCTTAAAGATGTCGTGCTGAAATAATCAGTCAGTATGACTTTACTTCTTATTTATATTTAGTCACAAACAAGATAGTGTCTCGTAAGTAGACACGTGTTATTTGATAAATCAATTTATCATTATTATTATCATCAATACCATCATCATCATCATAATCATCATCATCTTTGTTATATAATATACATAATAGACCATTACATATAAAGTAATAATATAAATTGATGGTATAAAGTTATAATAGGTAATACTAAATATAATGTACACATGATCTATATAGTTACTATAAATCTAAAATGTATTTACAAGAGCTTTTCTCCTTCAGTTCAAAATATCCTAACAGTACTTCTTATAATGGCAAAAAAATGTTAAACGTCACATGTCAAAATAATCCAGGCTCATGGATTTTGCTAACAAAATATCTAGCGTATTTAGTGTTCCAAGTCATAACAAATAACATAACAAACTCAGTGAAGAATAAGAAACCTAACAATATTATGAAAATATTTTCACAATGTCAATATTTTGAAACACAATCCAAATATAATAAACATTGCAGCAAAAATATAACCACTAAATAACAAACCATAGAATTATTTTTTTACTCATATCTCTCAACTCCCTAAAAATGATTCATAAGATGTAAAGCTAACAATTTGTAATTTGCAAAATTTGTGCCACATGTAGCACAAAGGCATATATTGTCTACACGATGGGACATATGTAATAAATGTAAATCCTCATCAAGAAATGAGATTTGACAATAGATGCATTCGTATACATGCGTGGAATGGAAGGAATGACACTGTGAAGCTGTGAAACAAGTAAATGTATTGTCAGCAATCACTGAGACTGAGCAGAGTGACAGGGCCACTAGCTCAAAATTCTCAATGACTGTTGTTTCCCAAATATCGAAAGATAGATTATTGGCAATATGTAATTCAGCCTCCACACCAACTATGAAAGAAGATGAAGGCTGTATTACAGACTCCAAAAAAATCTTCCCACTCCATGGGCAAATCTGCCTCATGGATGGCTCTTTGGAGTAAATCTTGTCCTTCTTCATCTTGTTGCACAACTTCCTCAGCATCCAATAACATATCTTCAAAATTAAAATTATTCTCAAAATCTAGATTTTCTGGAGGTGTTATATCTTCATAATGGTTGGTTATTATAGGTATGATAACAGGTATGTTAGAACAACGATCATCTGGGTTTAGCATGTTCATGAAATTTTCACCCATACTGTATTAAATGTGATGATTTATGATATAAAAATGAACTGCAAAGGCTTCTTCAGTGATGAAATTAAATCCCCATAGTGTGCATTTCTTGTGGTTATTGATGCTATGAGTCTCCATGTGCATGGTATGATGAATATTATTATGAAAGGCGATGTCACAAAATAGGCACTTTAAGATACTAGAAGCGTTTGAAGATGTTGATGTGTCATTGGTTGTTGTTACTTCAGATGAATATGTTGACGATTCAGAGTTATTTGAAGAAATTGATGCTTGATCGATTGTTATGACATCAGATGGAATGTTAGATGAGTTGCTTGGAGTATTTGCACATAACCAATTCTTTACTGTCGAACCCTGGGGCAGTTCTTCGTGAATATCCGCTAAATGGTCAAAATATTCTAAAAAATCGATATCAACTTCCGAAATGCCATCTTCTTGAAGACAAATATGACAAGTCCATTCCATCTGCAATGTACAATATAATTGTTGTAATAATTGTTAATATTTATAACAATATTTTCAAAAATAGGTCAAAAATTGCGAAAAAATGAGTGTCTATAAAGTGGTTTCTGCCATCTCAATCATAGGATTATCTGATAACTGAGTTTGTTTTGTTTTTGAACACCTAGCTATTACCTTTCCGAGTTTTAAAATGATGGAACGCTGCCTTTTATAAAGTACAAATAGAGCAACCAATATGATTAACAGTACCACAAGGATAATAAATTGTACCTGATCAATCCAAGTTGAGTTCAATGAATTTAAATCATTCGAATAGAAAGGTTCTTGAATCCATGAATTACTCTCTTTGAGATTTTTAATTACATCTAACAATCTATGTCTGAATTGATCGTCTCCTGTTTCAGGATCAGTAAAATTTGGCACATCAGGGAACCTTATAGGTGCAAGATCATGTAAATCTTCAACTCTGAGATATGGTGCAATTTTGTCATCCGAAAAATGAAAATGAAAAGGTACATTTGGTTGAATTTGTGGTACTATTATAGCGACCTTTTCACAGGTAGATATGTCAGCAAATAATTGTTGATTTGATTTATATCTCAGACACAAATAAAGGCATTGACTTGAATTTTTCAGTAAGTTGTTTTACTGTGATGTTTGATTTGTATGGCAAGAATCGAGAAAAAATCTTAATCCATTGCTATAGCAACAGTAATAGAACACTATGTGTTACCTTAAAAGTGCATTATTTTGTGGGGTGACATTATTTTATTTATAATGACTGAAGACATTCACTCTGAAACCTCTCTAATGGGTTCGACATTTACATTAAAATTATTATCAAACTTTAGACAATGATAATCATAAATATGCTTAATTAACGCCTCGGGTCTTATGATATGTGTAAAACTTCAAATGTTACGTTTTTCAACCCCTTGTGAAGAGAGACATATTTGACCAAAAAGCCCGAAATTGTTTCAGAAAACGGTAATTGAAAGAATCAAGACACATGCACCTCTTCAAATATTGGTTCAAATGTTGCTGCTCTATATTTTAATCAGATTCTTCATATCCCGGAGTCAAACCATGGACTAGTCTGTGCAAGCACACTTCTCTGTGGTCCTAAACGTGGTCGGGTATACTAAGTTTAAACTAATATGGAACTGGACTAAAGAAATATTAGACATAAAAAGCATATATTAAAGGTGCAACAATTAGTGCAGGGGGGCCATTCAACGATCATCGACCAGTGTCAAAATATATTTAAGTTTGGATATTTCATCAAGACTAACATATATTTTTATCATCTACAAAGAAACCACATGGATGAACATATTTTTATCATCTACAAAGAAACCACCTGGATGAACATGATTTCAGTTGATATTCCTCTTGAAACGTGGTGAATCTTAAAAATCTATAAGTTGGACTCCCTTTATAGAAGCTTTGTAGACAGGTTCCAATTCTAATAATTCAAGTTTTTGAGGCATTTTTTAGAAAAAGCAACAGACCTATTTTTACTTGATCAGTTTTTCATGGTGATAAAGATATTAAAAGATGACAGCTCAACGGGGTGGTCACGACACTGAATTTTGGCATGTTTACCCCCCTTGGAAAATATTCTAGGGGGTACTATGAAACTAGTTCATAACTCAAAGGATATATGAGCTATTGTTCTGAGCTATTGTTCTGTTCTGTACACCATACATTGCTAGTACAAATATGAATAGTATCCTAAAGTTATAGGTTGATACCCTTATTGGTCTCAGAAAAAAACAATAAACAGGAAAAAGATACACAATTTTTGTCTTGCCAATTTTATATTTGTAGCTTCAAGCAAAATATGACAGCTTTAACAGCTCATAGTAGTATTCTAAAAACATTTCCAGGCTATATGGGGTATTGTAATACATCTATTTTAGTTATGAAGTACTATTTTGTAATTTTAATATGACTTTATAGTGCCCTACCCCTGGAAAATTGAAGAATGTGGATGTGGTGAATTTAATCATTTTGCAGCATTAAGTTAGAAACATGTATTGATAGACACCAAATCAATAAATTCATACCATCATCAAATGTTAGGTGACATTCTAATTCATTTATTACTAGAATATAGGACTTAAGATATTTTATATGTAAGTTTTCAATTTAGTACATGTATCATAATGTAATCTAGTGTAATCACATACTAGAGAGGACATTGACATAAAGTCTAAACATTATAATCATCAATTGATCTCATTTGAGCAACTAGACTATGGTGGTCATCATGCACAAGTAATGTACTACAGTGCCCCATGTACTAGGGCACGAGTCATTTGAGCCATATATACCTCCTGGTATATACCTTTACAACCTATTCAGAAGGGTCATTTACAATGTGCAACATGGCAAAAGTTCCGTAAAACTGTTAGTTCTCATCATCTGACCATATAGCAGAGTACTCATTAAGCCATGATGCATCACAGCCAGATGTTAGAAAAGTATCTAAGAATCCTTTTTATTAACTAAAGATGACCTTCCCACCGATGTTTTGCTACACACTGTACTGTCAACTGTACATGTTGGTTTCAATTTTGTTTACTCTACATAGATCTGATTCTGCATTTAAATACCAAGACTTCAGTTTACTTCAACTGTCATGACTAAAGCATTTGATAGTATTTACATAATAACGTTATAAAAGAGCATGTAGGTTATCGCAAACAACTTCAGACAATGGTCCTTTTTCCATATAGCTTTGAAATCTCATTAAGGTCTTGTTTTTGATGAATTTTAGGAGATCTGCATTTTTAACCATTAAAAACTAATGTTTTCTTCCATCTGATGGCATATTTGAATTCTGTGAGTAATTCTCTATCAAAACAACTTTGATTTGCACTGTAATTTACCATTATTCAAATTCTAATGACTTACTGGTTGTCTAAAAAGGTTGGGCTAAATCCCCATTGACACAATGCTGAAAAACCTTAAAAAGTTCAATTACTCTTCCAAGGATCACAATTTTAATGTGAAATCACAATCCACATGTCAATAAGATCATAAAGTTACATTCCAATGATGTTTTAAGTTGATCCAAATGGAATTACTTCTTAAATCAAGAAATTAAGTGACTCTGGCAATACATTTACATGTATTCTAGCCCTACCCAAGCTCTACCAATACCCATGATGCCATCTATTTTTCATTTATATGGAAAAAGGTCAATTCTAACTTGAATTATGAATATTTTCTGACCATGAACATAGGTATATCTTTTAGATCTATTCATTATCTTCAAGAAAAGTAAATATAATGATTAATCAGACCTAAGTGATATTAAAGGGAATGGCCCAATCAACATGCTTTTTACTAAAAATGATGACCTAGTTTTTACCAAAGATGCAACCTTTAATTATATTGTTGAATGCATAATTAGAATATGCTTTGAGACAAATTCTATTTCCTAAGAGGAAAAGTGGATTGCTCCAGGGACTTTAAAGCCACTGAATTTGGATGACCAAAATGAACTGAAACCAATGGATAGCATGCATTTTTTCAAAGGGGAAATAACATGGGGAACACTAATCTTAGGGGAATTCAGTTTTCGTTTCAAGAGCTATTTGATATATTAAAATAAAGAATAGTAATGCATTAAACATTGTTAAAATAATTGCATTTTTGGTGAAAATGAGGTCAACAACTTTGAAAAAATATATTGATGGGTTGATTGCTAGTGAAATATCTCAGAGTCCGAATGACTTTATTATCCCTGTATAACTGTCTTCATGGTCAGGAAATAGTCATAATCAAAGATATAACTGTCTGAAATTGTTTGTGATAACTTACCTGAACATTTGCAGGTCAAATCAGGATTGACACAATTTATTTCCACCAAATTTTTGACATGTCTTCAAATATACGATAGTATTTTCTTCATAAGATAGAGTGTCACTTGTGAAATTTATTGATTGACCTGAGATCGTATCATATCTTTATGACATAAAAGCGAAATAGCCATATTGAACTTTAATGAATGTTGTTTGCCACTTTTCGACAATTTCGTCAAAATTTGGGGTTTTGGGGGAGGGGTACAATTAAGTTAAAAAATTCACCTGATTCAGACTATCCTTAAATGAGCACTGATTCACCCGAGAGCATAACTTTTCCAAAACATGTTAGTGTTGTTTTTGGACCACTCACATTAATGTTTCGTCTAATTTTCCCCCAGAGTTTCCTCATCATTGTCTTAGGCCACATTTGTTGAGATATATGAATGTTCATTATTAAAATCTTGCCTTCCTTTGCAGTTGGAGAAGACTCGGCATTAGGTGTTATAAGTCCCAGACCACGATAAATAAAAAATAACAACACAATGACATAGAACTGATAAACGTTTTCTCTTGTGCGTGTCAGCCATGGTCTACCAAATTAATTGCTATTCAGTGAGAAGAAACTCATTTTTCAGTTTCCATTTTAATTTCCTGACAAATAGAGCGATCATCCCAGCATTTTTTCTATGATCTATATATCTATGTGCCTTAGCAACTTCTGTTTTAGAGAACAATAAAACAATAGAAAAGATTACTTTACCATAATTCTAATCATCCCACATTGTAGACATATTTAGAATTAAAAATATGAAGAGAATGACAAAACCTCTT